CAAGAGACTGATTGTTCATTTACCGACAGGTAGGTAGCTCTGATGCCATGCAGCATAGACAGTTAGACTGGCCTGTTTTCAAGGCCCAGATCCCATTATCTTGGACTTGGAGGACCAGGGAAGTAAATGAGATCCCTGTCCTTGAATTTTTGGGACGTGGCACTTTGAGTTCAGGAACAGACAGGTACAGACAGACTAACTGTTAGCAAAGTTACTAGAGATTGAGCTGCTGGGTACAGGGCCTGAGTATCAGTAGCCAGAGTTGACAAGATCGTCTTCCTTGCAGAATTGGCTTGCAAAGATGCATTGCCAAGATAATGTGACAGCACCTTTCAAGTGCGGCAATTGAATCGACCACCATGAGATGCAGTAAAGACACTGAAGAAGCCTAGGGAAGAAACAGATGAGGCCGATAGACCCAGCGACGGAAGACGAGAATTGATTCCGCGGCGCTAAACCTCCAACAACCAACAACCGACAGGCCTCTTTAGCGGCGGGAAGGAAGGGCCAGAGGGCCGAGGAGACGACGGGCAGGCCAGGAATAACAGAACTCTCCAGTGAATCCTCCACTGAATATCAATGCCTAGACTGGGAATGCAAGGGTCGAGAGGCTCAACATCCGACCAACTCTCATGAAAAGAACTGGGTAATCGGTTTCGGGTGGGTGAGTGAGCTTGGGTTCCCGATCCCCGCAAAGAGATCGGTAATAATACAGTCTGTCTACCTATTCGCTATTCCCTACCGTAGGCGGAGGCTGGAGAGATGTCACACTGTATCAAGGTTTGCCGATGAAGGGTTGATGCTTGTTTCCCTTGAGGTCCTCTGTATCCGTACCTACATATTGTATTGTTCCACAGTTCTGCATGTTGTATCCGCTTCCGCGTACACCGGGTCGTGTTCTGTCGTATCGATATCCATAGTACGAACCCTAATAACATCCCTCAGAAGGGAAAGGAAAAAAGAAAAAAAAAACGTCAATGAGCCGCCCTTTCCTATGTCCAAATGTTTGGCTGCGTCTTCAGCTGCAAGGACCGAGGATTCACACGCAGGCATGCGCATGGTCAACAGAGATAGTCACACCGACTTATTATAGAGTCCGGGGGTTGCATGAATTTCGACGTCGTACATTCCGTGGTCGCATATGTACAGCAGCTAAGTTGACTTTGTGTCTGTCTGTCTAGCCGTTGTAAGTGTAGGTGTTGACTGTTGGCTCTGAGAGAATGGATGAATTCGGCCCTTGGAACTGCAACATGCGCATACCCGCGCTGATGTACCGTATGCTCGTGTGCGGTACAGCAGAGTCCAGCCAGTCTGTCCAGCATTCATCTCGAACCCAGGCTTGAGCCCAAGTCTGTGGGTGGCCGTTGTAAACGGGCAAGGGAGGGTATCCGCAGTTCTCAGTGGTTTGGTTGGTTCAGTAAAGGTTGTCACAAGGGCTTCCGATGCCGTAAAAAGGCACCGCGCGCGAGCTTCCGCAGGGCAGAACAGGGCAAGGGTCGGGTGTAAGACTGCAAGTGATGAAGGCGTCGTAGGCGGCCCATCGCGGCCCTTTCTGCGCCGATTGGCTGCTTTACTGGTTGACAGGTGTAGCACAGTCAGCAAGCCAAGCAAGCAAGCATTTCCTCTTTGGACAATGGAGTAATACTTGTTCCAAAGCAAAGACCGTATGTATGTAGTATTCAGGATGGACTGTTAATATGGAAACCCTCAGTATCAGGAGATTCAAGAGCATAAGCAAGATGTTGTGTTACTGCATCAGGTAGGTATCTCCATCAACAACAACCAACAAACACAAGAGTTCACCGGGGACGTATTCCTTCAGAAGCACGTCTCCTCATCGGTGTACCTAGTCTATGGGACTCGTGTAGATTTTAACCAAGTGTGGTAGGTCGGTGATCATCAAAGAAAGACCTCAATCTCCCCCGCGCTGCAGACTCTGTCATTCCGAATGCTTGACATCCATGATACCAATGTCAACGAAATCCGGGTCCCTGGTCTGCCAGGTTGAATGTACGAGATAGCTAAAGCAGTAAAGCTCCCGCCTGCCAGTGAGCGAATTCGTCAATCTCACCAACGATCACTGGAAGAACCTACCTCGTTAGGTAAGGCATCGGTTTGATATGTTAGTGGAGGGTAAGCAGACAGATGGTTCTGTGCCTGTTCCTGATCCTGCCACCGTTCCTGACAGCCATCGGCTAAAGTGAAGGCGATTGCTTGTGTCAGTGGCGTTAATCTGCTCCGATTACCCGGTGCATGAGGTGTCAAGATGAAATCCCCAAAATTCTTCATCGAAGCATGAAGGAATACGGCGCAGTTTAATTTGCCTACCCGGTAATAGCTTAGAGTGTGACTGGTGATTTCAATGCTCGTGACCAATCACTATACTTGTCCTGACCTGGATGCTTACCTCATGCTGAGATGCAGCTTTCACACAATTATCGCAGGGAACTTTTGGGGTCAGTGAGATTTGAATTATCGTATGCACATGGAAAAGTGTACCCGGAGTCAAAATATCGGGACCAACCGCGTATGACGAGACACGACTGCCTTATTGAATATCCCACTGACGGGTACCCAGCTTGATGAGAGATAAGCTCAAACGCACCTTCTCGAATAGTCAGGTAGTTGATTAATATATTTAACTATTTGCCTGTGCTAATCGGAAACCCGTAGGGTAGGTAATATTGGGCTGGGCGGGCAAAGGAGGTGAAGTGAAGTGAGTGGTATAATGGAGGGAAGGAAGGACCATATTCGGCATCTAAACGGACAGGAAGACCTGGGCATGGGCAACTTTATCAACACCCGAGTTATCGCATCTCACCAGTGTTTTCTCAAAATGCCTTTCATCGCCAATAAACTTCACTCTGCTGTTTCGATTATCGTGTCATTCTGATCATAATCTGCATATTAATTTTCAACGGCAAAACCATATCGTGACGACGTCGAGAATCGAAGGTTCCATCGCGGCTTCTGGCGCCACCTGGCCTCCGTCTAGCAGCCTCTAACAGTCTCAAAGCTACCCAAGCCCAGCCTTAGCGTCTCGGGTCATCAAGCCCCCAAAGCAGCTCCTGCAGCCCCAGGGTCAGTGGCGGCAAACACCCGTATGCCGTTGCCCAGGACGCTCTGTACGTATTCCTTAGCTCAGCAGCTGGCGCAGCCTCTTGTGGAGCTTGGGGCAGGGGCAGGATGCCACTTGGGTCATCAGCGTGATCAGTTCCTGGGCCCGTGATGAGTTAATCGAGACAGAGGGGGCCATATCGCTCCCTACGCACCAACGCGCGATTCAAGCAGGAGTTGGGAAATCAAAGCTCTCCCGAGTCCCAGCTAAGTTCTGTTACACGCACGTTCTTGATGGCCTCAGTGTGTTCGCTCAAGGGCCCGGCACTCCTACCCCTGACCGCTAACTACAAAGGGTAAAGGAATCCTGGCCCTGGCGCTACTGCACGTTACTGCAAGGCCCTGGTTCCCTCCGTTATTGACCCCTCCCAGACTGCAACACTAACTCGCAAGCAATTGGAAGAGCCAACAAGGTCGCGGCAATGTCCCAGAAAAAGATTCACCGCGTCTGTTTCGTCGCATCGGCATCAAGCTTTTTGTCTCATCATATTCGCTCATCCGGCTGCCCTTCCGCGTCATCCACGAGCCGATCTTCTTTTTTTCAAACCCGGATTCTTGGACGGCGCAGTGTCTTGCAAAGCCCACCACGCGTCCGTTGTCCCACAGCCCGTCCCAGCGCAGCGGGTCAGGGCAGAATTAAGACGCCTGAGCAACCGCTGGCTGCCTTTCTTGTTGATGTTCCTGTTTTACTTACCGTAGGCGTCGGTGCCATTTGTGCACAAAGCTCACCTCAACGCTCAGGCTGGGTGCCACGCCGTCTGTGTGCTGTAACAGCCAGTCTAGCTCGGCCCCTAACCTTGCTTAGCTCCTAGACTCATGATTCTCTCCATCCGGCCCTTATCTCTCGTGGGGTTAGATGAGATTTCTACGACATGAGAAAATCTCGTTCCCTGGTCACCTAGGCGTCTAAAAACAGTCCATGAATGTTCTGCCGCCCCTTCCAACAACGAAATGAGGATGTGGTTTATCAAGATCAAGACTCGTCTTGGCAACACTACGGCGCCTCCAATGAAATGAAATGAACCAGCAATCTCCTCATATCGATAGCTTTTGACTCAAGCAACTCAATGGATTTCATGGCTTGGAGAGCAAGCTTCCAACTGAAATAATGGCTGCATCGCCAAACGTTATCTGGTCTATGATCATGGGAAAAGGCATTGCACACGTTTCAAAGCAGGCTTCATCGTCCAGATCCCACGTGTTTTCTGGGCTGATTATGATAGACATGCTTAAACCATGCCTTTAGCTAGATCTTGTTCCAAACCACCGGTGGTTATAGTCCACAGCAAGGAAACTCCTTAAACTAGGAGAAGATGAAGCAATCTGCAGATGTGGTCATTGCTCAACCTTGGCCACGGTCTGTATCATCCTCGCCATCCCCGACGCTAAAACGAACCACAAGATGTTTAGTGGGCTTCCAGAGCTTGCAACGCCGGACGCGTTTCTTCTGATGACCCGCAAAAAGGTTCTTGAGCTAGCGCGTCATCTGTTGCCCTGCTCTCAAGTTCAGTCCTCTCAGTCAAGTCAAAACGATAACATGGTGCGTGAATGAACACGCAGCTGCTGTGGCATCCCTGAGATTGCATGTCTCGCAGACGATGGATTATTAGTCGAAGGCATGGAAACGGCACAGCGTAAATGAGAATGAAGAGAACCATGAAGCCATGCATGGGGAAGCACAAAGCGAGTGTCCCAAGGGCTCCGAATATACGGATGGAAATGCAGTGGGGTAGAAGGGCTGGGTGAGAAGACCCTTGCAGTTTTCACCGATCCCCTCTCTTCTGGGTCTATTGCATGTCTTCTGTGAAGTGTTGCCATGTCAAGGTCTCGGTAAGTAATTTCGAACTTTCATTAGATCCCTCCGATTTTGATTTAAAGGACTCCCCGGTTACATTCTGTCCATGTCCATTTCTAGATAACGAATCGTTTGATCATAGAGTCTTAATACTAACTTGAAGGGGCCGGCTCACTGTGTTCATGTCACACCTCCAGTCTCCAGAACTCCCCACGACGTCAATGGCCGAGTACGTAACCTGCTCTGTGGGTTCATTCGTCATCCGAGCCAAGCGGAGTGGCTATGACTTCGTTCCTGCATTGTTCATGGAGCTGGCTCCCCAAAAGCTACTGACATAGAGCAGAGCTAACAGGGAACAGGCTTTGGTCCTCTGTCGAGTATCGCACTGAGGCCAGCAGGCTTGACGCAGTCTGTCAGTTGTGTGTCACTCAGAAGCTTTGCTAGTAAATCTTGGAGACAGAAAGTCTATCAAACCGGGCGCCGGAATCCAATGTCGTTATCTGGCACGAGCTCAGCGTGCTGAACCGCAAGATATCGTGTATTGAACGATGCACAGTTGAGAAATAAACAGAGTCTAGATTCCACGACTTGTTGCTGCGTTGCCATTACTAACTAACCCAACTGCAGAGACCGACTTTTCCTTCTTTTTTTTTTTTTTTTTTTGTGCTTTGGCTTTGAGCTCTTGTCGTTGTTTCAAGCTGCTGAGAAAGAAAAAAAACCTGCCCATTGACGCACGCGTAACGACCCATCGCATCGTTGTGTCAACATCCACTTATTTATAGTTGCTTCTGTGGATGTGCAATGTTTGCAGGTCATTTTTGACTGTTTGGACCTCTTCATTCTCTGCTTGACGGTGTTTCGTCGTGTCTGTGTAATGGCTTGTCTTAACCTGACGTACAAGATAACACTCACTGATGGTCAAACATCTTGCACCCACTTGGTCTCTGTCTGGGTAGGCAGTTAGGGCGTCTATGGCACCACCACGGACCTCATGTCACCTTACGACGAGTCCAGCATCGTCTGAGGTTACGGTTAGGGAAATGCACTCGCACTCACAGACACAGGCACAGGCACATACACTCAAACTCGCACAGTACGCATTGCAGTACCGACACTCAAGTCTGCCTGATCGATGTATCCTTGCATATCCTACCTGGACTATCCCGGCCAGAATGGGCCTTGCAGAGAAGGAAAACCCCCCCAGATTCCCGGGGCTTGTGTCCGTCGAGACGGGCCAGGGACAGCCCAACCCAACCCACTCGAAGCCCTGTCGAGGGTCCCCCCTTACCACCGCCCTAGCCTCCCTTAGCCCCAGTTCCTAGGGCCTGTCTAATCTTTGGGAGGGTACAAGCTGCCTTGCCCCAAGATTGCATCAATCTCTCGCTCATCTTGTTAACTTATATGTACATTGCATCCTCGTTGTTATAATCTTGTTGTTTGATCTCCCGATGACCTTTCCCACCCCTCATTTCGATACGTTTTTGAAACCTCGTGGCATCTGATCTGCCCTATCCCAAGTCTCTCTTTTAGGTCTCACCTACTCCATTCCTTACTTTATCTCACTGCCCTGCCTGGTCTAGATCAACAACAAGAATTTGTGGAATAGGCCAGTTTCGCAAGTCATTGTTTACATACAGGGCACGCTCCGCCGTCGCCCTCCTCTTGGAGGTCTTGTGTAATCATGTGGGCTGCTACAATGCCTTATTACTCAGAATACCAGTCGGATCGTTCCAGGCGCGATACGAACCAGAATGCTCAGGCCAATGCCAGCAACGATGCCCATGGCTATCGCGATGTATCCCCCCACACCCGGCACTCACCCATCGATCTGGACGAATACATGGTGCCAGCCATAGAGGGCCCTCCGTCACCCGAGAGAATTCGCCAATTGAGCAAGCAGATGAAACATGCGTCTCACCTTAATCGAGGTCACCGGGCTGTATCGTCTGGGTCTTCGTCGTTTGTGAATAGTGAGCGAGGATGGGAACAGGGATTCGAAAACATGAGCATTACTCGGCACTCGTCCCAACGATCTACGACTAGCGGAACTTCTTCTTCTCGAGACCGACCCGACAGTGTGCAAGTATTGGGCAAGAACATCTTCCATCGCCGTGCAAAGTCGAGCAAGTCAGGACGCTCAAGACGTGAGAGCAGTGCCCAGAGCTCATCGGGAAGTTCATTGTACTCGACTGAATTAAGCAGCGAAACTTCCTTGACCACCTTCAAGGACGCCATCATGCCTACTATCTTTGCACGCCGGAAATCATCTCGCGACGAGACAGCCCTACAGAAGAAGCTTCAGATATCTGGACCTTTCAACTTTCAGCATGTGACGCATACTCCACGCGAACAGGCAGCCAACTCAGCATCTCGTACTCCTGGACAGGAGCACCCCCAACCCAGCTTCTACTCAGACCGCGTTGTCGAACACGAAGTATCTCCCCGTAGTTCAAGAGCCTCTAACCTTCCACGTCGATTGATCAAGCACGCTCGATCCCAGGAGCAGCTCCGTACCAGCCCACCTCGACCAGTCCGACCCCCAAGACCTCCTCCGCTTGAGCCACTTCACTCTCCTACTCTGGGTGCCCCTATTCCACCCCCAAGAGGCTCAAGCCGACAGCCCAGCCTGCAAGATGGTGACGCACTTGCAGTGGCAAGGTTTGATCGTCCACTGACGAGTGGTGGGTTCCGACACCCTCAACCTTTCAGCCCTAGTGAGATCATGGAGCGACCTCCAGCAACATCTCATGGTTACGCCATGGCCCCTGAACAGGCAGTATTGCCAGTAGACGATCACCGATTCTCGCATGCGATCACCACCCCCGATGATGCAGCCTGGCCACTTCCCGTAACCGCAAGTTATGAGCCACCATTGCCAGATGTGCCAGAGGAAGAAGAACACATGGTAAACATTGGACGATCACCAAAGAGTATCATCAGCACCAGGTCTTCACTGCGTGCTAGCCAATCGGTCCCTCTTCTTCGGGGATCCCAGACTCTCGAGAACGATGCTGCCCAACACAGTGCTGGACACTACAACGGCCAAGCTCATTCCATTAGGGAGAGTTGGGAGGATGATATCGACTACTGTTACGAACACGAGGCCGATGCCAACTTCGATTACGAGTGGGAGAGACCGTCGTTGGAAGGTGGACGAGAGCATGCACCTGGAGTTCAAGTGGCTCTGTTTGAAGACGATGAGTTGAGGGAGCTACCGATCATCGGCACTGCTGAGTCGTCTCCCGGTATGCTTTCCGCGTCCCGTTTTGATATGCCGGCTCTAAGCCCAGCTAGTCAGGCCTCGCCGGAGAGTGCCTTCGAGGCCATCACCCCAAGCACGGGAGTCGCTGTGACCAATAACTTCTCGCTCCCACGTGGTGACAAGGTCCACCGCCCGTCCAATCTTAGCCATTGTCGAAACGACTCTCGAGCATCCAGCTTCAAGGAGTCATATGGCTTTACCTTGTCCCCTTCGCTACTCATCCCTGGTGACTACCATCAACAGATGCTCCTCAATGAGACTGAGAGACAGAGCTATTCGGGTGAGGATGATGTGGTTCATGGTATCGTTGACCCCAACCACCCCTATGAGGATGTCAGCAACGCTGCCAGTCACACCTCTCTTCAGATGTCTCATCAACGCGCAAGCACTTCCACTACTGCTACCAACTCTACATCTCTCTCTGACTCTACTGGAGAGCGTCATGTCTCTACCAACTCCACCTGGACTAACTTGACTCGTCTCACCAGCAGCACGTCACTGAACAAGTGGGTTGAGTCAAACAACACAATCCGCGAGTCACAGATCATCAAATCACACGATGATAGCGACGAAGAAGAGACTACTCCTCCTGCCTCCACCGAGAAGGACACAGTCCCTGAGCTCACACCATTCCCCTCTGTGCCCGTTACCAAGAAGCCTCACCACAAGAGCCACGCAAGCGAGTCTATCGTCAGGGATGATATCCCCAACAACACTAAGTCTGTCGAGCTTCCCAAGACCCGACGTCCTCGTGCTAGAACAACAAGTCTCAGCACTCAGGCCCCTCCTGTGGGCCAATATGCCCTATTTCCTCGTACATATGCCAAGGGCAATGGCGATCGTATCTAAAGTGATTTGATCGCTCCATGTTGATTTGTTACCTGTTTTCGACCTCAACACTTGAGGCAGCTTTCTTTTTATTTCCGTTTCATATCTCTCTCACGTGCGGCATATGCCTCCTTTACACTGCTTTTACACAAGACACTGTGCTCCTGGGTGTGTCAGCCCATGGTCGGATTTCTTTTGTACGGGTTTGAGCTTCGCCGCGAAAGGCATTCTATACTTGGGTCTCTGGTCCTATGGTCCGGCTTTCAGGCCTTGACTTCAGCCTCCGGCAACCAGGTCATTTAAGGCGTACTTTTGATCTGCAGAAAGCAGTTCAGGGCATTGGGGGCGGTACTCAAAAGCTAAACAAGGCATTGGGTGTGTTTTTATTTATTTTTTCATCTTTACTGCAATGTCTTTTCGGAGTCGACCACTGGGGGGTCGGCCAACGGGTGAGAACAAGGTCCAACTCTGTAGGAGAGACCTTTGGGAACCAACTGGCGCAATATTTCCAGTTATGATGAGTGATGGATTTATGAACATTTAGACAAAAATCAGAGGCACATAGCAGTAAGCTATCTTGTACAACATACCGGCACCACGGCCAAAAATGCATTTCTGCCAAGCGCGCTGACTTTGAGACATTTACTTGCTCTTTGTGTATATATACTAAGTTAAAAATGACTAAAAAAATGTTAAAGTTTAACAACCAAATCTTCATTAATTCGCATGCTAAGTGACCAACTTATTGAACAACTGAAAATTACGATGCATTCTTTGAGATGATGTCTGCCTCTGAATCCCTGCATGTCATCCGTCAGGGGTCGCATTGAATGTAGTGGTTCACGGTACGCAAGACGATTCAGGAACCAAGAGTATACGACAGCACCTTGCTCATTACATTGGCTGATTTAGCTGTCCAGGATAAATGCCCGACTCTTGTATAGTTTCTTCGAAGCAGAGCCAACGTACACTCAAGTTATGGAGGTCAACCGAAGATGCTTGTCATGCATAATTGTGGAATGAATTTCAAACCGCAACCATAAGTCTATTCCATGAACTTGATTATAGACAGACATGTCTCTGAGAAGCCAGTGTCATATAACCCATGCCCAAAAGTCATGTCTATCCCTTTCCCATTTTCTAAAGTCTTTGTTCCTTCTGCCCTCCCGTGCTTGCTCCATATAAAACACTAAACCGTAGAGTTCTCATATAGAATCCCAATGCTCCACACCAATGTAGACAAAGAAGAAGATTCAAGTAAGAAGGCGTGGCAACATGATGTAACACAGAACATGTGTCCAGTCCAATCAAGTCAAGCCCATGTCTCTATCTGTTGTGGGGTGTTGAGGCTTTTGTGTCATGTGAGTCGTAAGTTCAAAGAAAGGATGGCATGGGTAATGAGGTAAGGAGGTGTAACAAGGACAATCAAACACACATGTCTAAGTGAGGGAATGTAAAAAGAATATCAAAACAAACATATAAGGCCAACCAAACATATAAGCAAGTACCCATGAAAGGACATAGCCACTTCCATTCGTGATACTGCCTGAGCGCCACGCCCCTTTTGAATCTGCCACAATTTGAGAACCAAAACATGAAAACGAATATTGATGGGGCATCTGGTAATAGGGCGCATGGATAAGGAGTGTTCACGTCAAACGAATCGTCATGGGACCAACATGCGGTGCGAACAAATGAAGCAAGCCAAAGGATAATCAAACAAGGATAGGAATATAGAAGAGGGCATAGAACGGTTAAAGAGAGATGCAAACTTATCAAACAGATAGTCGTTCATGAACATCTCGTTTGAGAAGCCTGACTCTCAAAAACTTTGGATGCAGTGTGCAACTCTTGCCTCTCTATACCCATCATATGTTGTTTGTTATGAGCCTTCTTTCTCATCATCATCATCATCCCGCTCCCTCTTGTGATCCTTATTTGTGTCGGGTTCGACAGAGTTCTCTTGGCCCGATGAGGATGTTGCGCTTTCGGAATTTGATTCTTTGAGTCGTCGCAGGCTGCCCTGAAGCTCAAGGTTCTCGAGTTCGAGTTGATTTCTCTCACGTTCTAGTGCTTGAATATGCTTGCGAGCCATTTCAAGCACCTCGCCCTTACTGACACGTCTGTCAGCATCATTTGCATGGTCGGATTCGTTATCCTCGTTTCCATTGCCGCTGCCACTTTCCCCATGGCGGGCTTGGTCGGGCAGCGCACTGAGGAGAGATTCGAATTGAGCATTGAGACGATTTCGATATTGCTTCTCGACGAGATTATGAGAGGCTCGTGTTCGACGGTCTTCGGGAGTATCGTTGGGTTTGTCTCGACTGTTTTTGGATGTCCGAGAAGCACTGCGGAGCTTGCTTTGGCGGCTAGATGTTGTCGATGCTGTCGAGGCCATGGACACGGATTTGGAGCCAATACTGGCACGGCTGTTCTGCGATGCAGAACTGGGACTGGCAGCATCGGATATCGAAGGTGCTGTCCCACCAGTACTGCTACTCATAGCCCCCTGGGAAGCGTCCGATAGTTTGCGAGCCTCTTTCTTTTGTCGTCTTGGTCGAGGAGTCTTTCGTGGACGAGAAGCCGGTGTCGCATTATTGTCTCCTGTAGGCTCGTCTATCTCGGCCCAGGGGTTGCTAGCAACATGATGAACGGGGGTCCGCACTTTTGGAGTGCTGGCATCATGGCTCATAGAATCGTCCCATTGACTTGGAACGCCGGTATCGAAGTGGGCACTATTCGGGTGAATGCTTGAAGGTGAAACGAGATTGCTTCCGTACGAAAACGAGGCTGGATCTGTCGGCGCATGCGAAAGATGATTCGAATGCCCAACAACGCCCATATGCCCTGGGATCTCGAAATCAAACTGAGGGTGATTTAGCTGCAAATTTGGAGGAACATGGTACATGCTCCAATCCATCGACATTGGGCCAGAAGAGGCGGGAGGGATGTGACTTGCAAACCCAGCGGGCGGAAGACCCGCTGAACTCTGAGCTGAATGAGCTCCATGGCCATGGCCGTGACCATGAATTCCGTGCGCCTGGGGATGCGCACCGTGAGAAAGATGGGAACCATGTGGGTGTTGCTGCGCGTGTAAGTCGATATCAAGGTCAATTTCAAGATGAGCGCGTGATTGTGCACGTGACGATTCAGGAACGGTGCCCGGCAGTTGCATTCCGAGTACCGGGCCCGGTAAGGTCACCGGACCCGAGTGATGATTTGCGTTTGGATTCGCGTGGTGGTGGGTCTCGATTTCGGTCGGTTCTGGCCGCGGCGGCGCATCGCGGCTGGTTCGATTCGGCGACGAAATGGGCTGTTGATGTGGGAAATGACCGGGTGGCGCCGGCGCTATCATCTGCTCCAACGGAAACGCCAAACGTTAGACTTTATTCCATCTTCACTAATTGTTCACTCTTCTCTTTCATCTCCTGTTCTCTGTCTCAAAATTGCCACTCTACTGTCTCTTCGTGGTCTCGACTCGCTTCAGCTCTTTTTCCCCATCGGTTCTTTTGCCCCTGAGCTATTGAATTGAATGCGTCTCGTTCGACGAGGAAACTTTTGCGAAAATTGGCCTCTTCTAAACGAGTTTTTTTGTGGTACCATTGAATACCAGGGCGCGACAACAAACCATGATTCAATAGCTCGAGTCATTCTTCGGGAGAGACGGAATCGAGCCGGACACCAGTTGGATCGAGACTCAGCCACTGGCCTGATGCATGGTGTTGACATGTCTCAGGTGCTTTGCTGCAACCATGACATGCTATTGAGCATTGACCTCGACAGGATATCTCCAACTGGCCAAACTTACCTCTTCAACTTTAATTCACATCGCACAAGGGGCAGCAGGATACTCTCCACCGTCGCCTCGTCGCCAATTAACGTACCTCTGGCTCTTCTATGAGAAAGTCATAGAATGACTGGTCCTCGTTGTGATCCCCCGCCATGGTGGGATTGGAAGTCGGAGGCTGCAGCAAATTCTGGATCTGCGTAGCCACTTGAGTGTTCGTCCGGCTCTTGTGTTTAGATGTCTGGAGGAGTGGGCTGGGTATCGCTTTTGTCTATGCAACCAGGCGTGCCCTGGCTGTCACTTTGATAGCAACTGGTCGTCGATTGTGATCTAAGGATCAAGGTATGATATCGAGTGGAAGTGCGATCGAGCTTCGATCAGTGAACGTCTTGATAAACAACTTCCGTTGATTCAGTCGGCCTGGGCCCGTGGCCGGCACCGTACTTCACCACGGAGGTTGGTAGTTTAAGGGACCCGACTGCTTATACAGCAATTTGAAGCCGCAGACTTCGACGTCACTAGAACCTGCTCAATAGTTCTAGCGCCACGGACGCCGATTTGCATTCAACAAGCAAATTAGAAGATCGAGGGCCCTATTCCAGTCCAGGAGGGGCGATACTGTACGGTAGTCTCGTGCTCCCACCAAACACAAGATAAAATGTCACCCCACCGAAGAGATTTCTCGGCACCACGAGACAATCGGTCACCTATTAGGTGACGGATCGAATGTCTTTTCAGGCCCTTAATTCTTTCTCAGATGATGAGCGAATGAGTGGCCGTGCCTTTCGTTTCCACTAACGGCATTCAAGGTCTTCCTCACTGCCGCTCCGCGTACCTGCTTCACACCATTGTTAACGTCAGAGCACATGCTGGGTTGGGTGACATTTGCCCAGATCGTCACATCTTTACTCACAGGTTCCCTCTTCAGCCGCACTATCGACTGCCTATCCTCGTGGTGGTCTTCCCTTTTCTCGTACTTCGGCCTCCGGCCCCTTTCCTTCCCCTCCTCCGTCTGTCACCTCTTCCCCTGAGGCTGTGAGAGTCGAGTGACTAGTCACGGGGACATCCAAAGTTGTCCCGAGGCCTGAGCGGTAATATGGTTCGAGGCCCTTGATGACTACACTCTGGCGTGCTCACGCATTCGCCCTAGTTATAGGATGTGGTGAGATCTGTTTTGTCAAAAATAACATAGGGCAACCTGATGGTGTTGTGTCAAAGCAGGACAAGCTTCTCTTCCCTTCCCCACGTGAACTATTAGGCTTCCAATAGGAAGATGTGGCTGGTTTGAATCCGTGGCCGTGGGAAAGCCAATGCTGAATGATGGAGGAGCCATGTGTGGATTCAAGTCGACGCCCTGATTGTGTTTGCATTAACTCGACAATCGAATTGGCCAGTGCCCCCGCCTTTACCGCCCAAAGGGGGACTTGGGGACAGCTTCTGGGAAACCTGAGCTGGAAATGGACCTGGGAAATAGGTGGACTCCTTTGGGGGGGGAGGAGACAGGAAACCGGGACTGGGATTAGGTCCGGGAAGGGGACGGGGACCGACTGTAAGTGGTACTTCGGGCATTCGTGCTCTGTAAAGTGATCGGCATATCGAGACCTTGCCCATCCAGCCTTTATTGGACATCTTGGCTTGACAAGCCCTACCGCTCACATGTCAAGCGCGAAAGGGTGCATGTTTGAGGCGCCTATATCTTCCCTGTCAGTGTCGTTCTCCGAGTTCTGTCAGTTTGGCGCGATGCCGAATCATGTTGTAGTAACAATTGTGAGCGGTCAGATCTGGATCTTCTTAAACTAGATTATCCGGGCCACTCCGCAAGGCTCTTGCCCGTTCTAAACTGCAGATTGAAGGACGATATTCAACCGTTATCTCATAAAAGCCAAGAGTCCATTCTGTCAAGTGCCACAGCTCGACCAGCCCAGGTATTCAGGTGGCTCATCGAAAGAAGGACCACTCGTAACTCGAGAAGCTCACTGGGCATACTGGGAATAACGACCAGGTGACTGAGGCACGGCCATCGTGATACTAGATGATACCACAAGCTTCTTCATTTTGCTATGACTTCGTACCGTGGCCCGGTTGTTTCGGATCCAGCAGCACGGAGATGATAACTGTAACTAGATGGTTCCATTGATTTGGTATTTTTGACAGGAACACTCCAACCAGGTACGGATGGCTTCTGATCCAAATCAGACCGCGTAATGACCACACAATTCTGTATGTATATGTCTGTATTATGGTGGTCTGATCCAAGTTCGCAACCGAGGAGCGGGGGGGTGGCTGGCTACAACCAGGGGGGAGGGGCCGCAAGCCTGTAGCCCACCCAACGAAAATGTATGCCACGCCTGGGAAAAGAGGACCCTGGGCTAAAGGGATTCACGTTGGATGCTGAAGCTAAGACGTTTCGAGGGAATTGGGGACTAATGAAGCCGGATGTGGTTGTTGGCCGTTGAGCTGATATGTCGTTTTGGGGGGGGCGTCGTTAGGATTGAACATGACGGACGGGAAAGACAACGGTTTTTTGTGGGCTAAACCATGTCCATCTATCGCTGCCGTCTTCGTGGCGGTAGTCTTTTTTAGCCCTTTCGTTCGACGTCACTGTTTCTGGGTCTTGTTTCCTCTTTTCGGCGGTGACATCTTTTTTTGATGGCGTTGAGTTTGCTGCAGAGTGTGAACAACTCGTGCTCGTCGACCGAGATAGTGCAGACAAGTCGTTGGTCGAAAGCCAACGTCACTTCCGAAAGGAAAAGGAATACATCCCCCTTCACCCTATGCAAAGTGCAGTTATCCCGGAGCTGCTTCTCCTCTTGTGAAACAGACAATCGATTATGTAGTGGCAGGGCTTGCATAATAGTTTGTGTGGCTTGCTCAGCCCTGGCAATTCATATCGAAATGTTGTATAGCTCATATTCAGCCCTGATCTACGTTCGGCCGCGAGTAAGTTGCCTTGTGAAGAAAGTTTCTTGGGATGGATCAAATACAGGCGGAATTAGTCAACCGTATGAAACAGAGGAAAGCGTCATTTCGGAAGGCAGCCGCACTTTCCTAGGACAACGAATGGACTGGATGCCACAGACAGATACTGTGCCTAGGTAACTGCCAACCCTGCGCCTGCCCTGTCCTGCACGGGGAGTAAGGTGTTTGGGAAGGTGCGACGCAGAACGGATACCTTCTTCATGCCAGGTATTACACGATGTGCGCGTTGTGTGTGGAGCTGATGAGGAGGAAGGTTGGATGTAGTATAAGGTAACGGACAAGAGAATTGTAGTGTTAGTTACTTGATGGGAAACCGAAGGAATTGCTCGAAAAGACGAAGGATTTATAGAGATCGTGACAGGTCAACTTCCCTGCCACTTACACAGATTCAGTTCAGGTCGAGCAAGTCATAGTTACGTCTTAAACTCATGTAAGAAAACGTTTTCTATAACTCAAAAGCTTGTTCTGCAGAAGACAGCGATAGCGAGCGTTCCCAAGAACCCTTGAAGGGTCAGATCATGGATATTCGACCCAAACAAAACTCCTCTTTGACTGACAGGGCCTTCTGTTATAGGACCCAGGCATTATTTGTGATACCCTCCAGGCTCCATGCTCCAGGTACCCCTGATCCTCGGTTCTGCAGGCCGAGTAGCCGGCCGTTCAGGTTGTCAGAACCCTCTCGTGCATTATCGCTGACGGGACACAAATGTTCATCTGCAGTCTCCCATCCTTCACACGACAATTACATACACATTTCCAAGGTGACCCAACCAACGGCCCGGCCAATTCAATGCACTGACTCGGATACGGCCCCCCTTTGAACCCACGTCGGAGCCGGAGTGTGTGAGCTGTCACATACTAATGCGGTAATACCTGAAAATATTTTTTTTCTTTTTCATTTATTGCGCTGTTACGCTGAACTTCGGCAGAAGCAAAACTTCGCTTACACCCCTGGCCCCGGCTGATCTGATCTTTGTCCAAACCTTAAACGACAAGGTCTTGGACCTTTGAATGGCACCTTTTTCTCTCCAAATATGCCCAATAATACGAGACTTGATTTTTACCCCTCGGATCTCGTTACTATTACCAGAAAGGGTAATTTCCATGACACCAAATCTTGGTGGATTGAGCTGATCAACATCACCACGATGCTTTGGTATCAGATCACCTCCAACCTACCACTAACATGTAGGTATTGTAAGAGTTCTACGTACCTCAGTGAGGTTTGCAGTACCTCAGTCTCTTAACCTGTCATCGCCGATCAAGGGCCACCCCTGATCGTCGGAGCCAAACCGAGAACGTTCAGCAACTATCCGTCTCCACCTATAGAATCAGCAAGACTCACATTGGGTGTACAGGAACGCACACGAGAGTGCAGGATCGTGATCTACAGTAAGCAGCCAGCCTTCCGGAGAATATCCATCCATGTTTTCTTTTCTTCAGCAGAATTGTTGGCTACTGTACCTATTTACGTATTTGCCTTGGCACTCGTACGTTGTTTGCCACTCGTGGGAGCACTATAACAGAGACTGATACGATGGTAATTAGACTGTTCGTTGTAAAGCCGACGATAAGATTTTATGGGGGGTTCTCTTGATAGTCGTCACTAGCTCCTTGCGGCTGACAAGTGATGGGGGGAATCCAAATGTACCCCTCTACAGGTGACGAGAACAAGGAATACTCCAGATGGCTCGATCAATTACGAGCCTGTAGTAGATATATTACAGGCTAAAGGACATCCGAGGCTCTTTCAACTCAATGATTTATTATAGTTTGTTATTGAATAAACTTCCCAAAATAAGAAACTCAGGCGTAAAGCATGCTTAAATTCATCTAGCCTCAATCGATCTAGTCTGGTCTACTATATGCCAATGCCATGGATCTCATGACCAATGTTCACCGCAAAGTTGTTCTGAACATGAGTCGTGCAGAGAGACAGCTTGCTGACCAAACTGTCAAAGCGGAAATAATTGTAATTGGTAACAGTTACTACTACATGAACCCAGGTAGAAGTGTGAAATCGTCTTTCTAGCCCGAACGCCTTTGGTATCTCAGTCTCCAAGACCAAGAGTTTTCCCTAGTCCCGCTCCCATTAAACTGCTCACGTGTCTCACTTCAACGACACACACGCTCCGTAACCACATGCCTATGCTACGTTTAACCTGTCTTCTTCTTCTTCTTAGGACGCTCCTCTTCGGCGTCCTCGTCATCATCATCCCGTTCCTCATCTTCATCCACATTGCTCTCGTCACTGCCTGAGCCAGAGCTCTCGTGGGCGCTGTCGTACTCCTCTGCTACATCGCTTTCGCTATCAGTTCGGAAGTCCTCATCCACGCTCTCCTCATCCTCGTCAGCGGAGCCACGGTCGGCCTTCGCGGCAACTTCGTCCTCGGAGTCATCCATCTGCTGATCGAGGGCGGCAGCAAGGAGGTTGGCATCCTCGTCAATCTCGTTCTTGACCCGCAGACCCTTGAGCTTGAAGAAGGTTTCAAGGGCCTTGAGGTCCTCACGGCTAATATTGCTGAACTGGGACGAGCCGGCACCATTCTTGAGAAGAACTGTGATGTCAAATGTCGACAGCGCTGAAACAGCTCCGCTGACACGCGAGAAAGTAACCGATTGTGTCTGCTCGTAGGCGATGTAGACAGCGGGCTTGGGCACAAACATGAATGCCTTCTCCAGACAGTATAGGAAACCCTCGCTTGCTTTGATAGAGCACTTGATGCCATATTGGTTGCGGTGTCTGCACGCGAGTCAGTAATTTTATGATGCAGCAGAAAACAGGGGACGTACGTGATAAAGTCCTTGGCAGGGGATGAAATCTTTCTGTTACCTAGACCGCGGAAGATCTTGGCGACAACTTGGTGGAGAGGTTCCTCGTAATGAGGTTCCAGCTTGTCTTGGTACTTGCTCTTAAGCTCGTCCTCGTTCAAGTTAAGGTCAATAGTGACTTCCTCGTCCTTCTTAAATTGCATGACAACGAAAGGATATCGCGTTTGACCTTGGCGCAGGGGCGGGTCCAAACCCATGACAAGCATGTAGTGCACCTCGTCAGGCTTTGGAAGTACCATGAACTTCTTGATGGCCTCGTATTGAATCTTGTAGTCGTAGGTTTTGCCTCGGAGTCGGAAAGAGGCTTCGTACATGTCGATATCGAAACGACCTCTATAGACAACGTATTAGCGTGCACACAAAAGAGGCAGAAAACTGTACATACCTGGGCGTGAGATGTAGGACATCCAGGAAAGTGGCGATAGTATCACCAGCAGTCTCGCCAATCTCAGCCTTGTCAATCAGAGTCTCATAAAACAGAGTAGCGGCATTCTTTTCCTGCTCGTCGTTACCGGCATCACTGCCTGCGTCCTCTCCTTCAGCCTCCTTGCGGGTGGTAACACCAGGAATGTAGAATCGCATCTCGACAAGCTGATCTCGACCAGCGGCAGCCTTGGATCCTTTCGACCTGGCACCACCTAGCTGGGCATTAGCACCCGTATCAGGGAGTGCCATCTCTACAGCCACCTCGTTGCGGCCAGCGAGGTTGGTGTTTCCAATTTCCGAGTAGGCCAATTCGAATGCGGGTCGGTTTTGGACGCTGAATGTGAGTTCGGACTTGGAAAACTCGGCTTTGCCCCAGTTCCAGCCTCGTAGAGCATGCTCCTTGCTCTCAAGGACGGTGCTGTACCAGTTCTTGAACACCTTGGCAAGGCGGTCGTAATCTTCTTGTTGAAAGCCATCGAGCTGGATTATGCCGGACTTGGCGCGCTGTACGATCTTGATTTCATAGCCCTTGGCGGCGCGACTCCATTGTGCAGAGGCGATGTTGTTATGATCGAGGGTAAAGGTATCGCCGCCGCCCGCAGGCTTCCATCCAAAACCGGTCTCTGCGAATCTGCACTTTCCACTCTCCTTGGAGAGGTCCAAGTAGATGTTATCGAAGCTCTCGCTGTAATTTTGATGACTTTGTTAGCTAGCTGTTGCTGCGGCAATGCTTATGAGAACCATCAAAGGATCGAGCAAGTTCAAGATCTGTGACGAGTAGAAAAGAGGTAATTGTGAGAAATTACATACATAGCAGTCATTTCGGCGACTGATAGAAAGCTTTATGTGTGCAGAAATATGCTGTGACAAGAAGATGTTGTCTTCCTTGTGAGGTGACGATGTGTTACGATGCAAGGCACGGTTTAGTCTGAAATTTGAGTGCACCCTCAGCTAAAGGTTCAGGTCGCGGTCGGCGCGCGTCTTCACGCGGCCACTATAGAATGCTCCACTTTTGTTATGTGTTACTCCAGGTCTCACTGGTTGAGTGCATTAACACAAAGTCATAGATACCGAGACATGGAACCTTATAACACAGGTAGACAGCTTGAGGCCCAGGTTTGAAATGGTTATCAAATGAGAAAACTGAAATTCAATTACGTTGTGGCACCCACGTCTCTCTGTAAGTTCTTAGGTTTCTACTCACGGTAACAACAGCCAAATTGCAGGTGACTACGGATAACTATCCATGATCAAGTCGAACTTGATAGGTCCTTAAGAACACCACGAGCTAATACTATAATATCTTTGTAAATATTGCGTAGAAATAGATAGAATGAGGTAAAACAATGTAGTTAGCATGTGAATTCAACCAAATCCACGAAATGGCAAGTCATCGCCGAGTCCTTTGGCCCCGTGCACTATTAGTTCCCCAACATTGCCTACGTCGGCCCCCCATGTGACTCTTTCTCCGGTCTCCAGTCTCCACTTCCAGCGATAACGTGCATAACATCATAGGTTTGATAACAGTCGCCGCCTTCATTCATCCATCTTCATGATCTACTACTATCAATACCTTTCTCTACTTTCCATCAACATACTCAACAAACTTCAATTCAAATCGTATATGCGTTTTCCCTTCTGCTCAGTAGGATGGTCAATACCGTCATGACAACAAATCGCCGCTCCCGACTGTCGGGCTTCCGATGCGCCTCGACTGGCCGCGTAACCGCTGCCCTGTTGCTATCCTTCCTCGCCTTCTCGCCATCATCTGCTCACAATAACATCGGCGACCGATTTCACGACGACATCCTATTACCTCCTGGGCCAGCACTTCCAGTATCACCAGAAGTTCCTGCACCCGCTGAGCATACCTTCAGCCTTCGGCACATCTACCATCATGGCACACATCTCCACCCAGGCCTCCATCGGAAGCGAGATGTTTTTCATGACGAGTCAAGGGTCTACCTAGCTGCAGAAGACGAATATGGCGAATATGATGTCTCTCGATTAAAAGCCAAGAGCCATTCCCAGACAATCCAGCGTCTAGTGGACCGAAGGCCATCTGTCGTCGACCCTATGGTTGCCGAGTCTCGGCAGAGAGGATATGCAGCCGTGCTTGATGCGTCGGCATGGACTATGGATCAGGTTTCTTCACCCGATATCAAAGATAAGGACACTGTTTTGACTTTGGCTATTATGACGGCCAACGCGTATGTCAAGGACGAAACAGAAACCGATTGGGAAGATGTGGGAGAAAGATGGAACCGCAGCGCCGATTTCGGATGGGAGTCTGATGGTCTTCGCGGCCATATTTTTGTTGACGATACAAACTCGACTATTGTCATCGGATTAAAAGGCACGTCGATGGCTGTTTTTGATGGAGAAGGCACCACAACTAATGACAAGGTCAACGACAACCTCTTCTTCAGCTGCTGTTGTGCCCAACAAGGTCAGTGGACCTGGCATCAAGTCTGTGATTGTGCCACAGGCACGTATTCATGCAACAACACTTGTGTTGTCCAGGCTCTAAGGGAAGAGAATCGCTACTACGGCGCTGCCCGCGAACTATACTCGAATGTCACAGAACTCTATCCTGATGCGCAAGTCTGGCTTACAGGGCACTCGCTTGGTGGCGCCGTCACCTCGATGCTGGGTATGACATATGGTCTTCCCGTCGTCACATTTGAAGCCGTCCCAGAGGCGCTTCCAGCTTCCAGACTAGGTCTGCCCGTTCCTCCTGGTGCTAGTGCCGACTATCCCCAAATGCGCGAGAACACAGGCACATTCCATTTTGGTCACACCGCAGACCCTGTCTATATCGGAACATGCAATGGCGCAACAGCTTCTTGCACCTATGGTGGCTATGCTATGGAAAGCGCATGCCATGCTGGCTATGAATGTGTGTACGACGTTGTCGCCGATAAGGGATGGAGGGTCGGAATTGGTACACATCGGATCCGTTCTGTCATTGACGATGTCATCAAGAAGTACGATGGTGTTCCCGAGTGCAGACGAACTCCTGAATGTAGGGACTGTGCTCAATGGAAGATGTACGAAAGCAATGGCACCGAAACCACCACAACATCATCCTCACCAACCTCGACCTCTATGACTACCCGTACTCGGACCCGCACATCAACTTGTGAGACGCCCGGCTGGTGGGGTTGTCTTGACAAGACCACACCCGCCTCGACCACAACCTCGACTACGTCGACTTCTACGTCTACCTGCAAGACTCCTGGCTGGTTTGGGTGCAAGGACAAGACGACTACCGAGGGCAGCACTACAACGACCGTAGATGCTACTCCTACGACGACTTGCCATACTCCTGGAAGGTTCTGGGGCTGCCGCGATGAAGTTGAGGCCACAACAACAGCTGAACCTGGCCAGGTTACGAACGTGCCTGCTACGGCCGCGCCCACAGGTACAACGGAAGACGTTCCTAGCACGAGTGTGCCAGAAAGTCAGAGATGTCTCACTCGTAGCTGGTTTGGGTTATGCAAGGAGTGGGCTGTTGAAGACATGGAATTTGCCCCAGATGAGATGTAGGAATCGGCACTGAGAGGTCCAATTCTATTAGTAACGTCCAGACCAACTCTCGTATCTCGTACATCGATCACTGGTCGAAAGCGACACGCACCTCTGCCTGTTATAGCGGCTTGATTTCTGTTTTTCTCTCTCTTGTCCGGGCACTTGGCTGCGATATAGAGGGACTCGCTCAGCGGTTAGCCATGATAAGTTTAGCATCTTAGATACACTCATGCAAATCATGAGGATGGAGTTTTTGTTTGGTACACTGGAGGACACGGCGTTTGATTAGGTACGAATGGCCGGGCTACAGTTTTGAACACATGCGATCTACACATGAGACTCGCACATTTAGACGAATGAAATATATTATAATATCAGAATAAATTGTATTAAATTATACACAATTTATTGTTGTACAGTGCCTCACCAGCATGTGTCACTGGAACGCACCTATCATATTACACCGTCTGTCATGATGTCAGCAGCCTAAAAAATCCATCCAAATCTAGTCTTCTCCCCACCAAAAAACGCGTTCGTCAACCTTGCATCTTTAGCTTGAATTCCATCAGGCGAAAAACCACGACACAACACCTCTCCATTATATCAACTTGGATATCGTCTAAAATACGCAATGTGATATCTTTACGCTTATTTCGTTCCGACAATCGATAACTCGCGATGGAAACGGAATCCAAACCGTCCGATATGGGGACTCCCTTGTCTTCCACATTATCTAGCCTCAGTGACAGCGACAGTGACGCTGAAGTTTTGAAGACTGCTGGCCCCAATACCGACACCGATAGCCAGAAAAACAACGAAGACACAGTAGAATGGCTTGCTACAACTCGAAAGCGCCGTTCGACCGCCGGCAATCGAATGAAGTCGATGCTCGCCAACGAGGAACCCGATTCCGATCTCGAACTGCTTTTCGCTGAAGATGAGAACGACCAGGGTTTCTCTGATGCTGAAGAGAACGGTTCGGATGTCCAGATGGACTCTTCAGACGATGAAGACGAGAACGATAATAATGATGATGACCTCGAGGGCGAGAAGGAATTGGAAAAGCAGGCCAAGGAACGTCGCGCTGCTCAGCGCAAGCGAAAGGCGCAAGAAGCCATCCCTGCCAAATTCCGCAAGAAAGTCCGTATCGATCCTACGACGAGAACGCCTGCACCTGCGAAGCCTGCGCCACGACCTAAGAAGAAATCTGAGCGCACTTCGTGGCTGCCGTCTGCCGCGGACCTACCGACACGAGCCTCTTCCCGCCAAACGACTCGACTCTCCAAGGAGCAATTACATCAACAAATGGTGGAGCGAGAGGCGCGCCGGATAAAACAGTTGGCTCAAATGCAGAAGAAAGCTGCCAAGTTGGAGGCGATGAAGAAACCACCGATGACTCAGGAGGAGCGATTACGAGAGGCAGCTATTGTTGAGAAGCGCAATAGCAAGAGTTTGAATCGCTGGGAGGAGGCTGAGAAACAGCGTGAGGAAGAACGTCGAGCGAAATTGGCGGCACTTCATAACAGAACGTTGAAGGGGCCTGTTATTACATTTTGGAGTGGCATTGGTGAATGGATGGGAAGGCATATGGTGATTGAGGAGCCTGCCAAGGAGAAGAGGAAGAGAGGCGAGAAGGCAAAGGGTAAGGATAAAGACAAGGAGAAAGCTGGTCCAACAGAGGACAAGAAGGAGGACGGTCAAAATGGCACGCCAGCTGCCAATGGCGAGATTGCCAACGCCAAAGAGGGATCGCAACCTTCACAAGACAAACCACCAAGCACAGCGTCAGCAGAGCCTGTAGCAGCCTCCGATTCTAAAGACACGAAACCCGCTACTCCTACTAAACCTGTTGAAGATATCACGAAACCCACAGATGCACCTTCAACTTCAGAGACTAGCGGTGCTCCTCCAGCGGTTCCCAAGACTGAAGACATCCCTCCTCCGATGACTATGCCACCACCACCTCAACCGCCGCCTACACCTCCAAGCAACCTGGCTGCTCCAGCTCCTCCAGCATCGACCTTCGTGCCAGCTCCAAGCCCTCCTCGAGCTCAGGATCCTCCACCAAGTGGTCTCGCTGCACCACCCCCGCCTCCACCTACGCCCGCTGGGTCAGCATCAACGACAAATTCCTTCGTGGCTCCTCCGTCAGGACTATCTCGTCCACCAGATTCTAAACCATCTGGCGTTCTAGCAGCGCCTATACTTGCTCCTCCTCCAGGTATTGGTATCAACGGAAATGCACCCCCTATGATGGGCTACGGCAATCCCAAATCCAATGTCCTGGCACCACCAAATACGTCTCAAGGGGCCATGCCTCCTACACTCACTGCAACTGCTCCTCTTCATAACACTCCGTCAACTATCTCACCCCCTCCATCAAAACCTTCAACAGGAGTTACACCCATATCTTCTACAACAAATATTCAACCCAAAACTATCACGCCCGCTCTCCCTACCAAATCTACCAGTCCCGACACTCCCGCTGTAACCCAAGCCTCCGACTCTCAAACTCAACCTCCTCAGCCTTCAACCGGAGCCCGCAATGCCATTGTCTTCCAAAACTTTGACGACAACGCCCTCAAGGATCGTAGCATTCAGACGCAGATCATCTTTGGCCGCAAGATGAATAAGCTTTCCAGTAAGTTTACATGGATCTTCAATAAACGTCACGTTCTCTAACCATGTTCAGAACCTTCTCCTGCGCCTCTTTGCGTAATCACAAATCATCCCGCTCGGTATCGGGATCCGCGTACCGGTCTTCCTTATTACAATGCCTATGCGTATCGGGAGATCCAACGCCTTACCCGAGGCGAGTACCGATGGAGCCATATCCTTGGTGCTTGGGTCGGTAGCGGAACATATGCTGCACGAGGCGTCCCCGAACGCTTCCTGAACCCTGACAAGAAGGGGCCTGAGAAAAAATCTACACCTGACGAGGGCATTAAGGGCAAAGATGCTGTCCAGGCCCCGGATCAAGCCCAGGACCCCCAAACAAATACCCCTGATGTTCCGTCGGGTATCCCGACTACTGGGCACAAGATGACTGGGGTTGGGCAAGGGGCTTCCGCACCACCAAACTCTGAGCCTAATCAGACGATACAACCCAAGATGGCGCCACCGGCAGTCACTCAGCCTACGAAGACTACGAATACAACGGCCGCAACACCAGTAGCGCCAAATACTACTCCTGCTTCTGAGCCAAAAGCTCAAGCTCCAACAAACCCTCAATCAACTACCGCAGGAAATCCCCCAGCACCACTTCAGACAGCTCAATAGTATTCGAGACGAATTGCATAGATCACTGTATATAGTACTTCTACTGGATAGATACAGGGCTGTTGAATCACAGGAATTGGCATGATAACACGACAGCAACTACAATATGTACCACTATGTATGAACACAACATTTTGACAGCACAAAAGCACGGCTGAGATTATTCATCGTTTGACGCGTTAACAGAAGTGTATAACTGGTAAAACCAGTGTTGTAGGTTGTTTATAATTGTGTCTTATCTCATCTATCAAGATTGTGCCACTTGCCGATCGCTATGTCATCTACATACACATGCAGATGAGAGCAAATCAGTCCAAACCCTAATCCTCCCCTTAGGTCCAAGATTCGTGTTTCGATAACTGCCGTGTCGTCCGTCTCATGAACCATACCACCATTCCCTCACATACTCCTTTAGAATTCCATTGTTACACGGCCGTCTATTTCGATTCGCCCAGATCCTTTTCTTATTACCCCTCGGGGATTGTTGTATGGTTGACATCTCGTTGAGCTGCCTATGCTTGCGCCATCCCCTCTTGTTCCTTCTAAAACGCCAAATGCAAATCCCGCTGTGTTATGTTCATCAAATGTTGAACCCAAATTTTTTGAAAACCAGTATTAAACGCCGTCGAAACAATGTTGATCATAGAGTGTGGTAGGCGTTGAAGCCCAGAATTAAGTTGTATCGTATCAGATAGTATGTGAGTATGTTGTAGCTGACTAGTTGGCCTTGGAGCCAATAACGTCAACCATCCAGCCCAGCTCGGCCGCAAAGTCATCCAGGCCGGTATCGATAGGCGCACCGAGGAAGTTCCCGCTGTCGCCGCGAGAAAGAAGCGATGGAGAGTTGACCTTGGCATAGGCTGACTGGGACTCGACAATTTTCCGTCCTTGTTCCTGAGACTCCGGGAGACTGTAGCACTCGAAGGAGTCGGTGGTAGGGGCCATGCCGGGAACAGGCTGAAATGCGAGGATGTCACTGTTGCTACTTGACAGAACGTCGTCCTCGTCATCGGTAAGATCAAAGAAGTTGGTTCCTTCATCTTCGGGAAAGTTTGGTGTGGCTGGCGACAAGAAGAAGCTCGTAGCAGGGTTGATTCGAGGGTTAGGGGCCCGAACAGTCTCCAGCCTAGGTCGTGAGGGAAGCACAGCCGATGCGGGCACACCGCTGACCTCTAATAAGTCCTTCCTAGATGGTTTTGAAGGAATCAGAGGCAGCGAGCTTAAATTAGCGGCATCGCTCCTAACTGACTCGGAGGAAATAGTTCGCTTAAAGGGAGGGGGTGAGAGACGAGTGACGTAGGGCTGTCCATCAGATGCTGCTGAAGTAGCAAAGTTATCGTCGTCATCGTTCTCGTTGTCCTCTACAACCTCTTCAGGGATGACTAGAGATGGCCTTTCACTGAGGTTAGAACCAGGGCGAGGAGGAAAATCATCAGATAGGAAGCGTCGAAGAGATTCAGGTGAGATATCTCTTGTTCGAGTGCCCTCTGATGGCGTCGTGCAACGGTCATCGATATCCTCGGCGGTACCAGACAAGTCGTTGCGGATGGGAGATCGCCCACGCTCGCCTTCAGAGTTCACCTTGCGACCGAACAAGCGCTTCCATGCCGCCGGGGCAGGTGATAATGATCGGGACGAAGACTTGTGATTTAGTGATGGAGATGAGCCAACCCGGTAGGGGATGTGGTTGGCTGGTACTGAAGGTGCAGGTCGAGGTGTGATGTACTTGGATTCGGGATTCATGGTCTTGAGATCGGTAGCACGCATAGAGGTGAGAGAAGCACTTCGCTGCCTGAGAGCCTGCTCGACAGGAACGATTAAAGTATTGACAGTTTGGCCAGGCAGGTATGGGCATGCTGTGGTTGAAGGGAGGCTAGGGTCGTGTGTCTCGACCGAGCCATCTAGCTCATACTGAAAACCCATTGTTAATACAAATGAATGACTGGATTAAGTAGTAAATAATGAATGAATGAGTGAATGAAGAATTGAAATAAGTGAGAGAGGCGATGTTGATTAAATGTGTTTGGGTGGTTGGGTAAACGAGTGTTGATGTATGTAGTCGGGTTCACTAGTTTAAGGCAAGGGAGAGGAATGGGTTTGTTATGAGGTGATATGCAATGCAATGCAATAAGATGGCATATACCGAAATGGATAGAACAACATACGTAGTAATAATAGGTATGACCCATCTTAAGACCACCGTGCCTCTTGTTGGGATACGAAGGTGCTGTGCCAGTACCTGAGCCTGAGCTTGAGCTTGTTCCAGCGCCTACGCCAGCGCACGTCGCAGAAGCCGAGACGGAAACGTCGTCACAGACAATGTCACGAAAAGAATAGCAACCTCTCCACTGATCACGGCCCCGCCGGATGTCTCGTTGCATGGGGTGAGATTGGCTGAAATTGTCCCACGACCCAATAAGCTGCACGGACTGTGTCGAAGGGGGAGTTTGACTGGGGGATGCTTGTCAGCGGCCGTCGTTAAAAGCCATTGGGTGACGGCATGGAAGGGGAATAGAAGCAAAGAAAAAGGGCAGGGAAATTGCACCAAACTGCAGTACATTACAGCCAGCCACACGCCTTGGGGCCAAGGGGTAACAGCTGAGAAACAAACTGGTACGATAGGCTTAGACCGTATGAAATGATAGAGCTGACAATCGTGGGGAGACAAGGGAACCCTTGGATCGATCCCAAGGTAGCTGCAGATAGAGACTTCCATCTGCAATCAAACCCAGCTGTTTCCCCATTTTGATGCATACAGCATATTAGCAGTACCAAGCACTGCAGCTAGAGGCTGGCTAAGAAAGGTTCGACGCTGACTTCAGCTCCGACTTTTTACGCCCTCAATACAAAAGAAAAACATGCGACTCAAACATTTTGTTTTTTTCCTAAACACGGCGTCCGTCTATGTCTTGAGGCAAAGGCCGGGGGGGGGCTGGTCGGGGACAGAGCCAGATTCAGATGATTTTCATGCGAGGGTACAAAAATAAGACAATTGAAGCATACCACGGCAAATAAGACACTTCTAGGTAATGAGTACCGATCCGGGGTAGAGAATGGAATGACAGCGTTCGATAATTGAAACACAAAGGGAATGCTGAGAGATGAAGCTGACGCAGTGGGAGTGAAAGTGGTCCAATTGCTGAAGAGAACGATTTTTGTAAAGATGGATTGGATATAACGAACCGACTCAACGGTCCCGTAGAAGGCGATCCGCAGAAGTAGTGGATCAACAATCGACCAGCGAGAGGCGAAGTAAGGGAGCAAACAAGCAAACAAACGGGAAGAAAATAACAAAAGAAAGAAGAAATGGTCCGAACTCACAACAAGAAAGTGAAGAGAGTCGTTGATGGATCCATGACAGGCGACGGGTGACAGGACCTCACTACAGTTAATATGTAGGCACCCGTTACCACAGGTCGCCGTGGGGATTAATGATGAGATTGGTACTAATCTGGGAAACCAGTCAAGATCCACGACAGCGCCTATAGGCTTTGATGCCGGTGACTCGGACAGGTCGAGATTAAGCAATAATAGGAGGCTGATGAAACACCATGAGGTGTAGGTCGCATGTTCAGACAGACGCGAAGTGGTGTTAGAGAATCTATACTGGCTGTGAATGATTGGATGTGAGCCTCTCAAATTACAGCGAATTTGGTTGTGGGTGGTTGACAGCCAATGACCTAACGAGGAGCCCTGAAAGGTGACGGGCAGTAAGCGCCGCAATGGAGTCTTGGAACAACCCTCGACGAATGTTGACGTGTACCAAGAACTGGGTAAGTAAGGTACGGAATGCGGCACAGGACGGGCGCTTAAGCGCAGGGCGTCAAAGGCAGCGCAAAAGCGAGGCAAGACGAGGATACTCGGCTATGAGACGAAGCAATGCAACAGTCGGGCACAGCGAAGTACAACAAAGGCAGGGCAAGGCGTAGACGAAGAGCCGAGGGCGGCTAGTGAAGCTGCTTGCCTGCTTGCCTGCTTGCTTGTTTGCTTGCGACGCTCGAGTAAAAGTCGTGACCTAGGAGTGGTCGATGCAAAGGTGCGCGCGGACAGTTTGGATAGTACGGTTCCACTAACAAGAGAATACGGATGGACGCAAGTGGTGAATAGACGGACTCTCGCTAGTTTGCTTTTGGGTGGTCTCAGTCTCAGTCGCAGTCTTAGACGAGGAATGAATGGGGAAAAGTAAAAAAGGGAGCCCAAAGATGCAGAATGTTAGATCGAAGAAGAAAAGAGGGTGAGAATTTTGGATGGAGAGGAGGAATATTGGATTTGAGATTGCGGAAAGAGCGGGAGAGACCCAATTCTGACCAAGATGGGGAAATAATGCTCCTTCCTTTCTTCACATTAATTACCTTACCTAGGCCTTACGTAGTTAAGAAGCCAAAGGCCTCGCCAATCTAAGGCCAGCTCGGAATAAGAAATGCCACTGTCATTGGAAGAGACAGGTAATATTTCAGCCGTGGCTATCAAGTGACAGGTCCAGTTCGGCCCAGCTCAGCCAAGTTTGAATATTGGCCTTTCCAGTTGCGATATCGTTCCGGTTCGCCAGTGAGACCAACCGAACCATGCACGAGGCGTCAAGGGGGGCTTCTTATACATCTGGGGGTAGTATTGGCCTATTGGTCTGTTTGAGCATGCGCTATGGAATATTGCCTGCTCCTCGAAGTTTCCCGCCTTTTGATCATCGCCAATGATGGCAGACCGCATGCGTCTGGTAAGGATCGGCATCTTCATGTCTCGGTTTGATGGTTGTCGGTCAACAACTTACAGGTAAACACAAGTAGACAAAGAAAGGGCAGAGACATTCTGCACATTGTACCACAATCAACAAAGACAAAAACGACAAAGCATTCAGGGGAACAAAGGCGATCATCTGCACGAGCACGGCATAGCGAAAGACAAGGAACCCTAAGTCTCTGGAACATTGGTCAGCCGTGATTGGTCCACTAGCCTTCTCTGATCGAACTGAGCCTGATCCCCTTAACTCGAATAGGCTCTAGCGTTCAGCCTGAGACCTGGTGGGTCAGCTTGTGGCAGGGATGTTTGTGGAGCTCAGCCAGGGTGCTGGGAACTCCTTAGCACGAAAGAAGGGCGTCATAAAAGATGGGGCATTTTGTGTCTGTCAAAGTTGGTAAGCTTGCACGAATTATTCCTGACGATGAATTTCACTAATTATCACATCTTGGCAAATCAAAAGGGGAGGGACGGGTGCTGTCAGGATTGGCCAGACACATCTGCAATACAGCTCGGCAAGTTGCCAATAGTCTCCTGCAAGAGATCAGCTGGGATAAACAACTCAGTCTCTGCATTGCGGCATGATGAAGAAATCAAGTCAGGATGAATCACTCTTCAGACAGAATCAAGAATTGCAGGCTCCAAAACCAATGCTACTCAGCTGTGACCAAGGGGGGAGAGTGTGAGCTCCATTCCCGGCCTCCACTAATAATACCTTGAGTGGAAATTCAGGGTCCTCTTAGCTACGGCCAGTGAAAACCTGCGCTCTGAAACTCGCCTGAGCTGTCTTGAGAAGCGAGCGTTTAGTGCTCAAAGCTCAAGGGAGAGACAAAAAGTCGGCGGGTTTTTGACGGAAAACAGGCCAGAACCGGACAGAATGGACCGCATGCATCAATTGTCCTAGGGAAAGACGAGACAACAAGACGAGACAAAGCTGGTTGCGGCTTGCATTGCAGTAGGAATGGCATCAACCACATGCTGTTAGCTAAGTGATATCTATCTGTTGGTGTCTGGATCAACCACGTCAGTCATCACCGTTGACAACAGCCACAAAATATCGTCAACGTTAGCAACGCCTTCTAGGTGCATATGCACAATTAATTACACAACTGACAGGATGCATGTTATCAGCTCTATTTGCTTTTTGTCTCATCTTTTGTCTTTGTCTCGGATGCATCAAGCCTACATCCGCCCTGCACCATCGTCCCCCCAACCGTATTCATTGTTTTCTTTTTTATCGGTAAATCACGTCACGAAGTTCTCATGTCTGAATTTTTCCAAGAAAGTCCCATTGCCAAGTCATGCCCTTTCTTGCTTTTCATCCCGATCTCTATCTCAGCCCCAATTTCAAGAGACCCGTTTTCTGATGGAGGAATATCTCCCTCCCACCTCAAGCTTCTCCCTGAACGTGGATGTGGATACGTCAATAAGTCGAGAAAGAAAGCATTTACCAAGAAAATTGACAGTTCATCGTGACAGAACGCCAAGACGGAAAACAACAAAGGATCTTCCCTGATTGTGGCTTCGGATGTTGCGAAATTCTCTCTTCCCTCCAAACATATGGATACCTGTACAACCACGTACAGAATTTAAGGCCGAGACAATCATTCAATGACTCTCCCGGGTTCGCAGGAACTCATCCCGTCCCGTCAATGTGAAGCGTGTCACAAGAACACAGACACGCTCAATATTTGATGAACTACTCCGTACACCCAGTGAATATCGTCATCTCCGATGCCAGCTTTATCAACCGAACATATCGGTCCGGAACTTGACTTTAGTCCTGGATTCCAAACAAGCCAAAAACGGCGCTCGATGATCTTCAATGTTTCTAGATTATCCCCAGCCGCTGTTAGCACTTCAAATTTACTTTCGAGGCTGGTGGTTCTGTCATTTCCCCCACGTAGAGAGCCTCCGTCTGATCAAAGCGTTTGTTTCGTTGTTTCGTCGTTAATTAGAACCGTTGTTTGTTAGAGGCTATCCCCCTGGCCTATACTTAATTTCCATCAAGATCATAGGACTTATTAAGACTGTTTCTCGTAGAGCTGAAGTGTGGAGTTTATCTATGTTGGAGGAAATGATGCTCGTCACCATCTCTCATCACTCTCCCAGTTTGCTGGCTCAGTGCGTATTCTTACACGTCATATACCCTCAACGTCTCAACAGATCACATATCACTTAATAGTGAGCAACGACATGCCGTTTTCATCGTAACATGGAAAAGTTGGTACTCTACGATACATGACATGCATATGATTTATCTCTTCACAACATCGGAGACTTCTTTCTTCCTGAACAGGGTCGTTTCTATAGGGTAGGCCGACTGCTCACATTGAGATGGTGCTGGGTAGTCTTGATTTTAACAATTGCTGAGCGCTGCATTAGACAGTTATATTCATATGATCCCCGGTGCTAATATACGTGATACGGGAAGAGTCCTCTCGCAATCATGCGTCGAGGTCCTGGCTGTGGCCTTGCCTCAAACATTCGGTAGTACCTCTCAAATGCTCGATGTTGAAGTACCGCAGCCAATTATTTGCTCAGTGATCTTGAACGTCATGAATCAATGACCCATCTGCCAATATAACAATGACTACAAAAATCGATGTATTATGCCCAAAATATATAGATGGTCTTGATGTCCTTCTAGTATTACCTATGGGCTATGAAGAATGTCTTGCCACAGGGAGCTTTCAACCCCATCTCAAACCACATAGACAGACTCAGAGTGACTCTACCAGTGGACAGATTATCACGTTGGCATTTGAGAGGTATTGACACGGGTTACGGAAAGAACTGTTGATATTCTGTTCTTGGGGGCTATCCTGAGGACCAAACTGAGATACGGTGTCGTACATCTGCGCAGATATTTATCTTCCCATTGTGTTTCTTCCTCCTTCTGGTCATACCCGTTCCCGACACAGAGGAACAGGGACCCAAGGCCTATCATCTCACATACTAATTGTGCGCCGTTACCAAACCCAACTCTGTATCTCATTGACATTAATGGTACAAATCCAGATGTAAAGCAAATAGGGTAGAAGACCCTCCTCTACCCAGCACCGCCGTTCTCAGAAGGCCAGCCCTGCCACTGCACTACCAGACCCTTGGATTGCGGTGACGGGGCTGGTGGCAGGGTAAGAATGGGAGTCTGTAAGAATAACGAAAGTAGGAAGAACGTATTAGGCCCAAGGAGTTGGTCCATCAGGCGCCTCATTAAAGCCATAAATTAAAAGTTGATAAAATTACCGCAAGCTTCGAGCCGTGATGATAAGTGTCGATGTTGAAATTGCCGTCATGCCCAAACCGATCCAAAACCGTAACAAAAAGCGCACCCTGATAAGATTAAACAACCATATCGCAATCCGGCGATCCCCAAATAATCGAATACTGATGCTTGGTTTTCTTGTTTTGTTGCGACTGCACAATCATGTGCTCCTTATGCTGAAATCAAAAAGTTCATATGCCAATGTCTCAAAAACAAAATCTACTGAGCCTTTTCCTCAACCTTGGCCTTCTTTTGGCCAGGCTTGTTGGTCTTGGAGCCCCTGTACTTGGTATCGAGAAGAGTGTCCCAGAAAGTGAAGAAGGGCTGAGCAAAGTTGGTCTTGATGCCCCAGTGTTGGTGGTGGATGTCGTGATATTCAGCGTTGTTGCTGGTGACGATCTGGAGAGGGTCCCAGGGGAACGCGTAGCCGCAGTGGTCGTCGACTGTCTTGATCGTGGACATTGAGAAGAAGAGGATGCCCTGGCGCAAAGTCATGCGGGTGACCTTGAATGCGACGGCGGCACCGAGGGTGTCGAGCAGGAACCCCTCAACAGGGTGGTTGTAGAGAGCACCATAAGCGTAAGGCACGTAAAGACGGTGGTGGCGAGAGTGGAAGTGAACTGTTGAATTGAGTTAGCGATCGCGATATTGAAATGAAGCAGGTATGTTGTGTGAATGGAACTTACCATACAACCACTTGTTGACATGCATCAATCGGTGGAGGAAGTATTGCCAAGTATCAATGATAGCAGCGCCAATAAAGTACTGAACAGCAGGGATCAGGAAGTAGTAGATAGTCTTGGCCAATGTCATCTCCCAAGAGGCGAAAGCAGGTTCCGAGTTCGCGCCCACAAGCGACGGGTAGTAACCGCCAGCAACAGCCCCGGCCAGCAGGGGATGAGTGTCAAGGAGACTCTTGGAGATTGCTGTAGCATTGAGGCCGACGAGGCCGAGCACAGTTGGGAGAGCTCGTTGCGCGATACGGATGCGAGTAGCCCAGACTGCAACGTCATATTCACTCTTTCCAATCATCTCCGGAGGCTCGGACAAGGCGAGAAGAGCGCCAGTGACGACCTGGATGATCTGCTGCAGGATAACATCGCGGGCGACCTCAAAGCGGGAGACGTGGTTGCGTTTGGTGATTTCTTCGGGCGTGTGTAGTCGATATTGGGGGAACCAGTCGTTGACGTCGATTGCATGGAATGTCAGGGATAGGACCCAGTAGACAACAACAGGGAGTAACAAATTGAGCCAAAAGTCGGAGACCCAAGGAAAGAGATCAGGCTGGGCCTCAAGACTAAATGTTGGCAGCGGTGGTAAAGCTGTTTCGAAGAGCGTATGATTGAAAGAAGTGCCGGGCACGGCCATGGCGGAGCCGTCGGCGAGAATGGAGCTGTCGTTGCCCATGACGGGTTCAGAAATTAAGTTGATAAGGTATCGATGCGGTCGCGTTATAACGTTTTAGTTGGTGATGATGTGAAGGAGTGAAAGGAGACAATTCAGTTCCGTACGGGAGGCGAAACTGTAAGAGACAAAACGAAACAAACGATTAACAAAGTCTCGATCAACAAAGGAAGGTAGAAAGAGTTAGAGGCTAGACCTGGAGGATACAAGAGATTTAAGAAAAGGGAGCGTCGATGTCGATTGCGATGGCAATGGCAAGTTAATAAAACCCGACTCCAAGGCAAGGCAAGGTACAGTACCTAACCTAACGTAACTTGATTTGGGGGGCAGAAGATTAGATTAAGGCTCGTGTCGTCCAATCGCTCGCGCCGCTGGGCCATTTAAAGTGGCAACCCACCTCAGGTACAAGCGAAAAAACACTGATGATACAGTATCTGCAGACACGGAGGCAGCCCTGCGCCCTGCTTTTTGGCCCGGGAGCTTCGGAGTACAAAGTAAAATCAGCGACCGGACTGTGCAACTGGAAAGGTCCAATTATTCCAAACCCACGCCAAGAGACCAATCATTCTCCTTTTGTAGATGATACTTTACGCATGTGACATTTCCATACGTTATTTCAAGTATAAGTGTCTTTGCAATTCTTATAATCGACATCTCCTGAAGAGCAATTCCATGAGGTCGCATCATGGCCATGACCGTGGCCGGGAGTGGCGGATCAGCCCACGCGTTAAACAGTCAGTGACTTTGTCAAATCACATGTGTTAATCTAAGATCATACTCAGCTCTGTGATATCTTTATCATTAAAGGGGCTTCACATTCTGTCGTTGCTCAATGGACTCAGAAAACATACGAATATCTTACGCCTGTCCTCCCTGTCAATTCATGTTGGTGCTCCATCGCCTGTTCATTCCTCTAGACACAGGGCAAGCCTTGCGAAGCCTCTTGTGGCTCATACCACTGAAACGTCACCAACAGGTCATATGTCTGCTGTCAAGGCAGAGTAGCTTCTTACAGCCCGTCTGAATCTTTAAATTAACTGAACCGAGACGCAGATGGATCACGCCAGCTCAGCTCAGCCGTTATTTTGTAGATTCCCTTTCCCTGGGCATGGCATCGCATGAAGCAGTTCGGTTACAAATCCGCGTATTAAATCCGGGGCAAACACGAACCCCTGGCTGATCTTGTCAGGCGTTGAAGATCCTAGGTGCTCTCGGACTCCGGGTGCTGAGCCTGCTTTCGGCTGCTTGGGACTTGGGAAAATACTCGGTATGGGACATGCAATGCTGGTAATCGGCAGTACATGTATTTTCCATGACGCGTGAGATGCAGCTCAGCATTGCCGTCCGCGGTGTAATTCTATTGGGCTAGAGCTGGCCTATTATATTGCATTGTCGCCCGCGGATCAAAGTTCGCTTCCACCACTCGTCAGCGGATAGCCAGCTTGGTGGTCAGCTCAGGTAGTTTTCGCTACTCTCCTAGCCAGGGGATCACTCAAAATACCTACAATCCTTCCTTGCTTACAACTACACCAAAAAGTTTTTGTTTATCTTAGCTTAGTAGCTTCTCGCTAATAAGCCCACATGACTAAGATCTATGCTCTAATTTAGCATATTCCTCTTGTCATTTTAACTATTCATCCAAAACGTGATATGAACCGAGAGACCGATTTGGTGTTTTCGAGGCCCACTCTATGAATTTTATTGGTTCACAGGAACCGGCCACGGAAAAATTTTACGGCGTTCTTCAGTGAGCTTTTTCAGTTTGCGTGCCGCTAATGTACTCGAGCCCCCACTACCCCGCCACTGGCTCTAGATTTTTATTATCATCAGGCTCTGTTTCTCCCTTTGGCTTTGCTCCTCTTTGCCAGTCTCATCAGCTTCATTTTCTCTTCTTCTCCATCCCATCCCATCCTCAAAGGTCTAATCGACTTCAACCGTCAAAATGCTTATCTACAAGGTACGACCAAGAATAAAACCGTCTCATCACCCTCAGCAGTACCCCGCCTACTCTTACCCCGCGCTCGATTCTTGTTTTGTCTTATTCGCATGATCTGTCGCTGAACCCCGCAACAATAGGATATCCTCACTGGTGACGAGCTCATCTCCGACTCCTACGATCTCAAGGAGGTCGATGGCATCGTCTACGAGGCCGACTGTGCCATGATCGAGGAGGGCGGTCTTAACGTCGGTACGTGATGACCAGCATCACAGCCCCAGGGCTCGTGCAAAACAAGGTTCAATTTTGCCCTAACACCATAATCCACAGATATCGGTGCCAACGCTTCCGCCGAGGAGGCTGCCGAAGATGTCGATGACCAGGTCGTCAAGGTCAACAACATCGTCAGCTCTTTCCGTCTCCAGGAGACCTCTTTCGACAAGAAGAGCTACCTCACCTACCTCAAGGGTACATAGAAGCCACCCCATCGAGATCCACGATACCCAGAAGTTAACACCAATTCCAGGTTACATGAAGGCTGTCAAGGCTGCTCTCCAGGAGAAGGGTGCTCCCGCCGAGGAGATCACTGCCTTCGAGAAGGGTGCCCAGAACTATGTCAAGAACGTCGTCCTTGCCAAGTTCAAGGACTTCGAGTTCCTTACTGGCGAGTCCATGAACCCCGACGGAATGTACGTTTGCCCCTTATTACCGAGTCTGTGTTCATTAGGAGACTAATTATCTATAGGGTTGTCCTCCTCAACTACCGTGAGGATGGTGTCACCCCCTACATCACCGTCTGGAAGCACGGTCTTACCGAGATGAAGGTCTAAGGTGGAGGTAGTGACGTGGTGATGTTTTTGGTCTGCCTTGTTTGTGACGACAGACGGACGAGCAGTTATTTAGATTACGAGCCACACGAATCTCGTTCTCGGCACTTGGTATATCCCCGAGATATTGCGATGAGATGAACAAAAAAGAAAGAAGTCATGAGTTCCAACCAATTTGTATTTTTGACCCTTTTGTGCAGTGATGAAAGCGATTCTCCGTGCAAAGAAAGCAAGAAAAAAACTCCCCAAGAAGCGCGCCTGGCAATGCTGTGCGTCTAATACGGATTCTCGTAACTTAGAATTGTGGCCTAGTTGCCATAGGAATGGGAGGTGGTTCATCGTTGGAGGGAGCAGCTGAAGCACCCATAAGAGCTGGCTTCTTCTTTGGCGGAGGTGGAGGAGGCTTCTTCTTTCCAACAACGCTGGCCAATCCGGGCGATCCTGGTGCAGAGGGAGTATCTTCGTTTTGAGTTTGTGGTTGGTTGCCTTGGAACCTAGAATATGAATTCTGCGCCTTGTCAAGAAGTCCATACTTTTGATTCAGGTTATTTGCTGTTTTGGCTCCAGCAGCAACTTGTTCGCCATGACGTTGGCGGAAGTTGTTAGCTGTACTGGCAGCAGCTCGGGCATCGGAGAGAGAGACCGAAGAAGGATCCTTTTGGAATGACGAGGCAGTCTTGAGGGCGGCTTGCTTCTGAGCCCATGTGGTACCTTCGCTAGGTGGCGGAGGTGCTGCTGCGTTAGCGCTAGACGATGTTCCAAGCTTCGAGAATCGGTTCTGCAGTTCGCTCATGTGTGACGCTGCAGGTGCTGGAGGTGGTGAAGCGACACCAGGTCGTGGAGGTTGAGTTGGACTAGGTGATGCTTCGGCTGCCGGGCTGGAACGACCAATACCAAAGCCAGGAACTGATATCCCTGCTGCACCAAGACGATTGACTGCTCCTTGATTCAATAGACCGTTGCCTGTAGGCGCAGGACTAGCAGCGGGAGAGCTCGCAACTGTGCTTCCAGAATTGGTCCTTGGGGGAAGTCGTGGTGGTAAGCTCGGAGGTGCAGCTCTTCCTCCTCCTCCTACACCCGCCATAGCCGATTGATATGAAGGCGGCTGCCCCGAACGTCCGTCAGCACCATCTCTGCGACCGGGCGGTTTCGGTAGGTTATCTGTTGAAAGCCCTGTAGTATTTGTACGATAAGGACCGCGAGGTTGGGGTTGCTCTTCATATTCCTCCTCGGGTTCGGCATATACGGGTTCTTGAGGGGCCGGTGCTCTCGGATCCTGGTACTTCGAAGGAGCGGTGATAACCTTTCTAGGTGCCGACTCTGCCTTTGGAGGTGGAGGAAGAAGACCGGAACCGGTACGTTTGGGAGGTGGTGCAAAGCTTGAAGGGTCCTTTAGTTGGGACAGTGGAACAGAAACGTGACTACCTCGGTCCTCATCTTCAGACTTTCCTCTCCCAACGAGTCCTTTCTGTGAGGATGTCAGCCATTGATTTCAGTAGCAGGTAAGAAAGAGGAGACTGCTTACAACTTGGCCTTTCAAGCTGCTGCCGGGCTTTTCAGGATGCCACCCATTTTTCATAATATCCTTGTATTTGGACATGGCGAAGACTTATAGGTATTGGATTGCTATAGGAATGAAGGAGTGAGGTGAGGTTGGGATAGACGAGCCGCTGAAGGTTTACCCGCAGTTCCATTTGGGCCTAAATCCACTGAGCATGGGAGAGTGACGTACAGTTCTGCCGAGCCACTGAAGATCCGTCAGTCAGTCAAGCCACAATGTTCGCGGGGTTGTTTTTTTTGACAGCTGAGATTCAGTGCTGACGCCTTGCGATTTAGGTGTCAATTAACTGGACTTGACTTCTCATGATGGGATAGAGAGTCCATGAGTTTATAACTGATCACCTCAATTTATGATTGATATTACACAAGATTACTGCTTCAGTTCATTTGGCCTTTTTGACGGAGGACTGGATAGCATTTTAGCAGGCAATTACTGGCGCAGGAATTGAGCATTTCCTAGACGCGTCTCTTCCATTTACGCGTCTAATCATTTAAACTAAAGCACTTCAACACTTCAACACTTCAAACTTTGTACACATAGCGACAAATCAAAATGGCAGCGCAACAAAACTCAGACTATGAACTCTTAACAGAGCATTTTGGATACCCTCCAGTTGTAAGTTGACACTGGTAATACACAATATCACACAACCAGCACTAACGCCTCCAAGTCCCTCCTCGACGACATCATCAACACTGTCAATGTCCTCGCCGACCGTGCCCTCGACTCAGTCGAACGTCTTCTTCTCTCCATTCCACCGCAATCATTAGGGTTCTCCAACAAACATGCCTCGAAAGATGGAACGCCGGCTCTACCGCCCGACGAGGCAGCCAAGCTAGAGATCGAACATGGCACACACCAGCTCGAGACTCTTCTCAACGCGTCCATCGACAAGAACTTCGATTTGTTCGAGCTATACACGATGCGCAATATCCTAACAGTGCGGCCAGATGATCAACCATATATGCGTCTGGCGCACTACGAGGGCTTGGATTTCTCTGGGTCAGAAGGTCCGGATCGGCCAACGACCGAGTCTGTGACTGCGCTGCGGAGGAGATTACATGCTAGCCAGCGACTACACACAGCACTCGAGTCTGAGAGAGCCCGAAATGATACGCTGCTTGGCAAATTGAGGTCTGTGCTGGGTGTTGTGCCTGGCAATGTAAAAGCAGAAGAGGGACAGGCTCAGGCACCAGACGGTTCAGCCTTTGGATTCTTGCGCGACAAGACAAGTCTTCAGGCCGCTGGAGCCGACAAGCCCATCGCGACGACAACAGAATTCACCCTCTCACAATTACAAGCCCTCCGCGCTCTATCAACATCACTACGCACATTGCTTCCTGACCTTGGTCCCACGGATGCAGATACCTCAATGGAGGACGCCTCAAGTAGCTCACGTACATGGAGACGCGAGCGTGTGGAATATGTCGAGGGTGCATCGCGGAAATATCTCGAGACAGCTAGAGGTCTGGAGCTGGGAGACCAGGGTGAGGTACGTGATGGTGAGTGGCAGGGAGAAGGACGCAAAATTACGAGAAGCGATGTTGAGGGGCTGGAACAAGTGGCTGCTATGCTTGGGCAGAAGTCAACGACGACAGGCGAAGCTTCTGGTGAAGGAGAACCGATGGACCAGTCATAGGTTGAGAACTGCATCTTTGATATGTCAAGTTGAGTTGGTGATTTGAAAGGCGTTGGGCGAACGAAGAAAACGGTCTATGTCATAGTCTTGGCGATGAAATCTTTTGTCATTCGATATACAAAACAGATGCTTCAAGGCATGGTCAGCACAACATCTATCCCAGCGAGGTATATACCTCTAGTACATGTCTAACCCTTGACTAGTGGTACAATTCTCTCATCCCATCATTCCTCCTTGTTTTCTCTATGAACGCGCATACTGCCTCAACTTCTGGCTGTCTATCAAACCATTATGCTGAGCCAGATACCAGAAATGATGTCTCCAGTATCTCTCATTCGCACTCTTGCTCTCCCTATCATGAAGCTTATACTTGAGAACAACATCCACGACTCTCTTGGCCGACTCCGTGTCTCCTTTTTCGAGAAGCGCTTGCATCAGTTCCTTGAGACACGAGAGCGATGTGACAGGGCGACCAGAATCGGCGAGATCGTCAAAGATAGACATGGCTTCTCGAACATCACCCCCGATGGCGTGGGCGGTCATGACTCGCTCCCACAGTGTCTGGTCGCCGGTGGACACCTTTGTCAGATTGTTGTCCTTGAGCAGAGTGCGGATCTTGTTGATATCAGGAGGATCATGACGAAGGGCTCGCTCAACCAGAATAGTAATCATGTGCGGTGTCAGAACAGAACCGAAGCCGTTGCTGCGCATATGTTGTTGCAATGCAGCGATGACATCGTCAGAGCAATTGGGAAGACCATCAAGAGCATAAAGCATCTTGCCATATGTCTCGAGATTAGGCTTGAGTCCAGCTTGTTCAATATCGTTAAAGACGGCCTTGATAGCAGCAACTTGCTCCTCAGCACTGGCATCTTCCATACGCCCAATGACAGCCTCGAGTAGAATGGTAAAGGTGGCAGAGTCAGGTTCGATGCCCTCCCTCTGCATGGACTTTAAGAGCTCGTCGACATTCTTGTGGTAGCCCATGCGAATAGTCTCGCGGATGAGGATGTTATAGGTGCGAGTATTTGGAGCAAGACCTTGTCTTCCAGCCCACGCCAGCAAATCGTGTGCGGCCTTGGGGTCTGCATTTAACAGACTCTTGAAGGCAGCGTTGACGGCTTCGATACTAGGCTCAACAGCTTGAGATTGTTTCCCTTGCTTAACTGCACGTTGCCAGTTTTCTACCAACTCCGCGAGCGCCTGTAGACCCTTCTGATGCTGACCAAGCTCGATAAGCGCCGACACACGCTCGGTCCAAATGACAGCGTCGAGCTTCATACCAGACTTGACAAGTTGACTCCATAATGCCTCGATCTTGCCAATATCCTTGCACATCTTCCATCCGTGCATCATGCTTGTATAAGTTCTGACTGTTGGCTCAACTTCAAGCGAGTGCATTAGGTCGAGAGTCTCCTGAACTCTTGGATAACGACGGACTGCACACCATACGAAGATCCAAAAATCGAGGAATTCACGATCGTGAGCCAGCTGGGGTTTGATACCCGGGTTGTCGCGCAAGGCCACTAACATGGCGTCCCAGACGGATCCAATGGCACCTCTGTCGCGTGCCCTATAAGCTGCTCGCAGTTGCTTGTGAAAGTTGTTGAGACTGTTTCTCGCCCCCGAATCTGGGTCCTGAGATGAGGCTTTCACCCAGGCGTGGGATTCGCCCATGATCATAGTTGATGCAAGAGCCCATTGTTGCGAGACATACTCCTTGAGTGTGGCCAGTCTCTCGGGAGAAATCCTTGAAGATTTTGACACGATAGTATCGATATCAGCCTGTTTGATTTTGTACTTGGATAACACCGCTCGGACAAGTATCAGTAAAGGCGACAACTGCGTCTTGTAATCGGAACCAGAATATCTGTTATCTGAAGCGATAGCGAGAGTAGCCAGTAGTGAAGGGATAACTTCAATGGCTTGGGGCGGCGGTAGCTGAAGAAACAAAGAGGCCAACGCTCGAGATGCCTGTGTCCCTGCTTGTGCTGGGGCGCCACCCCTGCTGTACTCGGTATCCTTCAACACCTCTGTCACGCTGGGTAGTGCGAAGCGCGCCTCCTTGTTGGCTTCGCTGGGTCGCTTGAGCTGAGAAATATGCTGCCACATTTTGAGAATCTCCAACCTCATTGCAGTGCGCTCACCGGACCCATTCTTGTGCTGTAAGAACCTAACACATATGTTGAGAATGAGATCGTTTCGTAGGCGGAGGCCATAGTCCCCAAATGCCCGGTACTTCTCAGCTATATCGTGACTGTTCTTGTATAGACCATTTTGAAACATGTAAGCACACTCAATGCCGAGTAGTTGGGTTACAGCTGTGTAGATAGCCTTGGGGATCTGGCCTTCAAGTCCGACGATACTCGGCCAGATCTCGTCGCGGAAGATATCATAGCGCTCATCGGGGTGGACTCCTCTAGACATGACTTCTTTGAGTCTTGCGATGATTTCGAGCTCATTGAGTATAGGCATAGGCCCATTGGCAGCCTCGGTGCTTGGGGTAGCTTCATGATCCGCACGGCTCACGATTTCTTTGAAAAGTGCCAATGCCGGGTCCTGGTCTGGTTTCTGTTTCTGTTTGAATGCATTGACTCCTATTCTTGGTCCATTATGGGGCTGTTTTGACTCTCTGCTGGTGTTGGCTGACTGTGAAGCTGTCCTTGTCCTTGTCCTGGGTGTATCAGGAATCTCAGCTGTGGTTGAATACGAAGCTACAGCCCCAAGCCGCTTGGCTGAGGCCGGAACTGATCGGAACTGCGATGAGCATCTTGAACAGGCTGTCCGAGATGCGTACATGTCGTAAAGGCCCCAGGGGGTTTTGGTGGGTGCAGTTGCAATATGTAACTCAGTTGAGGGTCACTATTTTCATCAAGTTGATGGACTGAGGTGAGGAGCCAATCAAATGCCTTTTTGCATCCCACCTCGGTAAATTTCGGTGTGGCCTGTACCGGGTAAGTCGCTACCTCAGTAAGAGGTAAAACCAACTTATTCGCTGGTATTTATTACCTAGGTATGCTTGAGAGGCGAGGTATAATGTTACTGTCTATATGTTGCTTTTGGGTTTGTCATGTTGTAGTAGTCAGAGTAATATCTTTATTTATCCGTATCATCTTAATCAATCAATAACTCGTTTCTATCCGGCTGCTTCAAGCCTATTGTCCCGGCCGAAGAGTAGCGGAAAACTCTCCATCAATCTCAATAATCTTTTCCACACTCTTCTTGTAACCCTCTTCATTCTCAATCAAGTCAATATACTCCGCCACTTTGGGAAACTCTGACTTCCAAGAGCCATTCTCAAATGTTCCAAAGTTGTCAAGATCTTCTTTGGCAGCAATCAATGGGAAGCTCAAGAGAATATCCGCGGCAGTGAGTTGCGGTCCACAGATGTACTTGCCACCTGATGTGGCGAGGTGGCCTTCAATCATCTTGAGGTTAACGTGCACATTGGGGAAGATGAAGGCGGAGAAGATGCGGTTGGCGAGGATTGTTGATATGGGGCGGATGAAGAAGGGAACCTGGGGTGATTTGAGGGCTGTATAACGAGTTAGTGAAGCTCAATTGAGACGAGAGAGATAGTCAACTTACCGCTGACAACAAGGGCCATGACTAGGGGAGGCATGAGAGTACCCTCACAATAGTGAAGATAGTACTGATATCTCATCCAAGCCTCGGTCTCGCCCCCAATCTTGCCCTCCATACCCTCCTTCCATCGCTGAGGCACCAGCTTCTTACCCTCAGGCACATTCTCCGCAAGATACTGAGTGATGAAGCCACTCTCAGCCAGGGTGATAGGCTCAGCGTCTTCACCGGCACCAGCAGGTCTGATCTGAATCACAGGCGACTTGCCCAGTGGGTGCACCTTTTGCAGCTCCGGGGGAGCCATCATGGTCTTCTTGTTGCGGTGGAAGATCTCAAGCTCATAGGGCAGATTGAGCTCCTGGAGCAGCCAGAGGATGCGCTGGGAGCGCGACTTCTCGAGCCTGAATTGGTTAGCATTGAGAGCTCAGCACTATGATGTATAAATGAGACATACCAGAAGAGCTTGACGTGGGGTAGTCCGTTTGAAGCCATGGTTGGGAACTGTGAAACGGTGTATCGAGATGAATCGATTGACAATAATAGAAATCGAGTCTATGACAGCTTCACAAAACATCCGGGAGCCTCAAGTTTATATGGCCCATTAGTCTCGGCCAAGCTTCCAAATATGGCCGCCCTAAATATGATATACGACCATGATGCATCACTTTTGGTTGGCTGGTCGATGTCGATCCATAAATAAAGGACCGGGAGCATCACATGTGCCGAGTCCTCGGGTCGATCTATTTAGCAAGTAAGGTAGTTAGTTATTTTATGTATTTTCTGATTTTGTCTTGCCTTTGTCTCATACAAAGAAGGGCCTAGTTTCAGAGCCTCTAATCTAGTTACAGCATTTCTTTCTATGCCATTCCCAAATGCTGCCGGTTGCCATGTGATGCGATGCGTTCCTCTCCCTCCCCGAACCCCTTCCACAAAAGCAAATATAGGGAACCAAACGCCTTTTGCTCTAACAGGCTTTGCGCCAAAATTAACACGCTATGACCATCGCCAAGTCCGCTGTAAAAATCCATCGAGATCCTTTTCTGGATGCTTTCCTTATTCTTTCCTTTGCTATGCAGTCAATTCACACATCAGACACCATTCTGATACGAGACGGATATTACTTCATAAGCAACACAGAACTTTCTTCATCGTCGTCGAGACTTTGCTGCTGGGGCTGGCGCGTCATTAACGGCCTCCCGCTTTCGTGTCTGCTTTCGAGATCTGGGAGGTGGCGGGGGATCACTGTGTAAGTGTCCTAGTTCCTCCAGCGCGGTCGTGTTCTCCCACTGGAGGCTGCGATAGTTGGGCGCCTCCGGCGACTTGTCCCGGATGCGAGTGCTCATTCGCTTGTGATTCTCCTCTTTCTTATCACCATCTTCCTCCTTGGACAGGTAGGCCTTGCGGCTCTCCATATGTTTGGCGATCTTGTCCTTGAAACTTAAGAGCTCCTTTCGAAGCTTGAGTTCGTTGAAACCACGAGGGTCCAGCCATTTGATGAGCTCATCTACATGCGCCGGCTCCGAGATGTAACCCCACTGGTATGCGTTGAAGACGCTGGTGTTGGCCTCTTCCATGGCCTTTCGCTCAGGAACAGTCATGTTGAACTTTTCCTTGTACTCTTCCTGAAGTTCAGCAGGCAGGTCGATGTATCCTTCTCGCTCAAGCTTGTCAGGTCCTTGAACCCAGATCAGGCCGTTGGCGTAATCGGCTGATGCGGTCGAGCTATCAGGAAGTCCACCATACGGCATGCCATTTCGTTCAAACCAATAGTACCGGTTCCAGAAGCGATCCTTTCCAAGTACTCGGGTCCGAGGGCAGTCAGCCTCGCGCAGATCGTTTTCGATGACGGCAATCTCCTCCTCACACTGTTTGATGACTTCCTCTTTCTTCTGAATATCTTTCAAGAGTTTGGTGAACTGCTTTGATTGGGCTGGCGGTTTGGGCGTCTTAGCAACCTTGGCAGCCTTCTCCTTCTTGCGAGCCTCTTCTTCCTCTTGCTTACGCTGCTTAGCCGTCTGAGGTCGTCGGCGCTTGCGAGCCGATGGATCATCTTCTGTTTCTTCGCCATCTCCCCCTCGTGAGATGATGGAATCTTCGGGATCAGCTATTTTCACGTCTCCATCCTCTTCCTTTGGTGGGGAAGGAGGCATGTTCTCTGGTAGGAGGATCTTTTTCTGCTCATTGAGTTGGCGTAGATCTTCAATGCTGCATAGATTATTAGCATTCGCTGCCAAATGGGAAAGTTTGGCTCTTGACTTACGCTTGCTTACGTTGCCGCTGCCATTCGATCCTCTCCTTGCGGTACGTGGTCATGGTTTCGCTGCAATCTTCCATGTAGCCTCGCATGGCCTTGGTCTCAGTGGTCAGCATGCAGATTATCTGCAAAGCCTTGACACGCTGGTTGACATCGAGTTGGGCGTATCGCTGCTTGACAGTTTCTTGAGTAGCGTCAACTCCAGCAGGCACAAGGAGGTGCAAGAGCTCCTCGCAGACCTCATGTCGACGTTCGTTCTTTGACAACTGATGAAGAAGGCCAACCATGATTCGCTCCCATCCTCCGTTAGTAAAGTCTCGCTTTCGAAGGTGTTCGATCCAGTCGTAATCCTTGAGAAGTTGCTCGGCGCGATGCTTAGTCTCCTCCTCGCTTTCCTTCTCAGCGGCCGCGGCCTCGGCAGCTAAACGTTCTGCCTCCGCCTTAGCAAGACTACTGCGGGTAGCTCGTCCGACTGGCCGAGCCTCGGGCTCAGGAGTTGGCAGAGCGCTGGCATCCTCATCGCTGTCCTCGTCGCTATCTTCTTCGTCGACTTCGGGTAGGGTGATGCGAACCTTGCCACCATCGGCTTCGGAGTCCACCAGAATCTTCAATACTGAGCAATGGATCTCGTCAAGCAATTGAATCGGAACCCCCTCTGATGCAACGCAGAGGGTCTCAACATAATCGTCAAATGTGAACGAGTCCAGCTTGAACACCTCGCAATACACATTGAGGGTGTCCCAAGTCTCCAGCAATGGGCCAATCGATTCCATCTCAATCTTGTCGCAATACTCACTCTGCGGCATATCGTCGTTTTCAACCTTGACAGGTGGGTTTCTGCAGAGAAATTTAAGAGGCGGACGCTTGCGATCATCTCGGGGCTCAAGCTGCAAATCTTCGATAGGATATTTCGGAGGAGGTGGTGGAGGAGGCGGTGGCGTAGGTTCACGCTGGATTGGTGTCTGGATGCCATAGTCTGAAGGAGAGCTGAATGGGTTGCCGCCATGAACAGGCATGTTAAGAGGCCACTTGAGACCCTTGGAACCAGATCCCGGCTGACCAGGCTTCGCCTTACTCTTGGGAGCCGGCTTGAGTTCCGGCAGACGTACTGGACCAGAATGAAGTGCAGAAGTCAAATCATGACCGTTGGTGTCATGGTTGAGGTGGGCTCGCTTTTGGGCCTGGAGCTGTTTACGCTCCATAACCTTGGTGTCATATCGAAGGTGAGGAGGAACGCGAGTATCGATATGATACTGGCTGGCATAGTCGTGCTTGACCAGCCACGGTGCCCCATTCCATGCGTCGCGGGTGACAGTCTTCTTGATGAAAGATCTGAGCATTGCCTTGGTGAAGATACCCCGGTCGCGACAGATGTGCTCATCGGTTACAATCGTGTCCTGTTCTGTGTCCTTGAGATCCACCAGATAGCGGGTTGTAGGTAAAGAGTGAGTTCCATCAGGAAGAGCGCGGGGACCAAAGGTTGTCTTGTCGCGGACCAATCCATGAGCGCGATCGCCTCCCTTCATGGTCACTGTGACCTCTTCACCAGGGTAATAGTCATGCTTGAACTCGTCGTAGATTTGATCAACGAGGTTATCCAGTCGAGAAACGGTCTGAAATTGCACCTTACGCAGTATAGGACCTTTCAACGCCTCAGGAAATGAAGCTTCGACTTCTTTGCCACCAGCAAGCTAAGTCAATTGTTAGCCGTTGAACGATAAATCAAAGTTTACAAAACAAACCTCGCTCTTTAAAGCCTCAAAGAAAGTCAAACCAGAATGGCCTGTAATCTGATCATTAAAGCGACGCTGCAGGATGGGTAAGCAAGGGATGTCAAGGTGTAAAGCAGATATGGTGGCTAACCTGTTTATAGAAATCCATTCTAAGAGTTGTGTAAGTAAGGTGTGATATTGAACTCGGGTGGTACATGGCACTTACCGATCAAGATAGTCCTCATATGAGGTAAAGATCTCCCCTGTTTGAGGAATGTGCCAGACCTATTGCTGTTTAGCTATTCCGCAAAACCTATAGCGATATTAAGTTAGCCGTACCTCAGTATTCTCATCTT